CACAGGAATGAGGTTGATATGTTAGATTATGCAGAAATGCTCGAAAGTCAGACACTTTCTTACTTATAAGACTAAAAGTGGAATACCCATGACAAGTGAAACAAATTATAGATATAGTTTTGAGATGAATTGATTTGATTTATGAAACAGAAGGAAATGGACATTGAAAGTGTGTGTCATGCTATTTTCAATTACGATTAAATAGATTTATGGAAAAATCATCTCTTTTGGGAATGAATGTCTGTCAGACTTTACAAAAACCACAAATATGATTTATCTTGTAAAAAAAGTATTGATTTAAGAAGAAGCTATGTAAAATACCCTTAATTCATTCAAAGCCTCATCTTGATTGAGTTTCAGTAATCAGAGTTTTGGACCTTTTGGGTGTATCCTTTTGTCTGCTACCCTTTTCATGTCAACATACACCTCAAATGTTATTTCTTAAAATAATTAGGTCCTCCAAGAACTGAAGATCTTCCTTTAACCCAGATTAACATGCATTTCCCAATTCAGGACTGTAGGGAGAGAGGGTCTCGAGCTTAGGGTTTGTGCCAAAAGAAATCATGGCTAAGAAATACAAACCCACCTTTTTCGACAGTTATGTGAACCCCCAAATGTTGAGTTCATTTTTTGAGTCTCAGTAATGGCAAAATTTAAGTAAATTTGGCAGAGATAAAGCAAATTTGGAAAAGTTCAGTATAAAATGCACCATTAGCTGACTTAGAAAATAAATTTGCAGAACATATTGGTTGCATTAGAACCCCCCCCCCCCCCCTGCCCCGGCAAATCCTGGCTATGCCACTGCAATATGCACTGTTCATATGCAGTCTTTGAATACCATTTTGATAAACATGACACATAACATACATATATATTTAATATACATATTGTATACCAAGGTATAGTTGAAACAAGCAAGTTAGTGTTGAACACCTATGTTATAATTTCACTCAACCTGTTCTTATTTCAACAAATTCTCTAAATTATGGATAAAATATTAAATTTTCTGGCAATTCCATATGTTTTTATATATTGATTACATGCCTGTATGCTATATTCCTCGCTAATTCCTCTCCTTTCACCCCATAAATCATTCCATAGCATGCTTTTGATGATATTATATTCATGGTTTTGGGAGGGCACTTTGAATCACTGCTCTTATCTCTGGAATTCTATAGAACATTATTAACCAAAAGAAAAATGTCATGGTAGTCTTGTTTTAAAATGCGAAATAGAGTAAAAAAGAGTGGAATTAGGGAGAAATAAAGTAAACAGGCATGTAGTTAACATTCTAAATTGTATAGAAATGCAAGAAAATCAGACACTTCATTCAAATTTTAGAGAGAAATTGAGTGAAATAAGCATGAGCAAACAGATATTTTGGGCAAGATCACCCTTGTTGTTGATCTGAAAATGTTCAGCTTTATCAGAAAATTTGCAATGAAAAATGTTTATGTTTTCATAATTAAAATACAAATTCCAAAGTACCATATTACTGCTAATTCATTTCAATACCTGGTTACTATATACTTATATTAACACAAATCCTTGAAACGTTTCATTCTAACCCCTAAAATGAGAATGCATTATTGATGTCACAATTTTGTCACAAATCTGTGTAAAATGCCAGTCACCGAGATTAAATTAGGTCCTTTGACCCCATTCTACAGCTTGTACTTACAGTCAATATTTTGGTTCAATTTTACATTGAAATATGTAGTTAGTAAATTGTATATTCTGTACCTTGATATTATGTTATACGTTTCATTAGAGCTTGACTCCATCAATACTTTTTAAATTAGATGTATTTATTTTTTTTTAAATTAAGCTCATATAATAGATCAGAATATTTAGTCAGAAAATCAAATGATTTCACGTTGAATCTACAAAAAGTCAAAATTTCCTTTGAGGTCATTATGATCTGGTCAGAATCTTAACACCCATTTTATGGTCTTAGTTTGGTTTCAGGATGTCTATTTATAGCCCTTGGTAAAATCATATAATAATATGTCAGTATTTTGGTAGTTTAATACCATAATCTGTAATCTGTAGTGTAAATATCAGCTTCATTCAAAATCTTGGTTTGAAACATAAATGAAGTATTAGTTGATTTTTTCTTACAAGTTGTCTATTCACCCTTGGTATACGCAGCTAACGAAAATTGACCGGTACGGGTCAAAAGCTGGACCGGTATGGGTTAACGGTTTTATTTGAATTTTAAAATAGCCATAACTTGCTCAATATTGAGTTCCTCGTGTCTAATTTGAAATATATGATGCCTCCCGATGCTTTTAAGTACCCCAATTTTTTACAGATTTTTAAACGGACCAAAACTCTCTAAATGCGCATTTATGCTCTTTTCTCTCGAGAACGACTGTCTCATTTTCACGATAACTTTTATTTAGTACTTCTAACATATAAGATCTATTTTTCCCCATCAAGGTATGATGTAAATGACATGCTATTTACATCTTGTGAGTTTCAATGACGCGCGTTTGATTTTATAAAAAATGCCAAACTTTGTGACAAAGAATTCATCCTGCTTGCAGCGAGAAGACGGACGGGTTCGGGGCAATCTGCTTGCAGCGAGAAGACGGTCCGGTTCGGGGCAATAGCTGATGAAATTCTTTGTCACAAAGTTTGGCATTTTTTATAAAATTAAATGCGCGTCATTGAATCTCACAAGATGTAAATAGCATGTCATTTACATCATACCTTGATGGGGAAAAATAGATCTTATATGTTAGAAGTACTAAATAAAAGTTATCGTGAAAATGAGACAGTCGTTCTCGAGAGAAAAGAGCATAAATGCGCATTTAGAGAGTTTTGGTCCGTTTAAAAATCTGTAAAAAATTGGGGTACTTAAAAGCATCGGGAGGCATCATATATTTCAAACTAGACACGAGGAACTCAATATTGAGCAAGTTATGGCTGTTTTAAATTCAAATAAAACCGTTAACCCGTGCCGGTCCAGCTTTTGACCCGTACCGGTCAATTTTCGTTAGCTGCGTATACCAAGGGTGCTATTGGAATTTGGTCATCCACAATGGAAACAAATATAAAAACAAACATAAACAAACATAACATAACAAACATAACAAACAACATTTTTGATCAGAAAAATAATCCATAATGATCATAGACATTGAAATTCTTAATTCTTTAAAAATAAAGGGGACCTGTAACATGAAAAGATGATATTGAACGGAATAACCCCAATAACATTATAACCATATCATATCTATAAGTGCCTGTATGTAAATATGTGTACTAGTATGTATTTACTTTTAGTGCAGTTTGAACAATGTACAGTATATGTAACTTCATATGTTATGTAAAAGTACATTGTTGAACATTCTTGGTTTCAATTTTCTAAAATATGATTGTCAGGATGCATTGACCCCCCCCCTTCTATATTCTCCTCAGTGATCTCAGTATGCATATGGGTAAGAGAGAATATGTTGGCATTGGGGAGTACAGAGGGAAGGGGGGGGGGTTATAAACTACAGGGTCTCAAGACAAAAATCAGAATAAAATGCTAATGCATAGTATTCTGAATTAATTATTTTTCTTCACAGTATTCCTATGTGTAATTACATCTGTACTTTATTTAGTATTTCCATTGTTTTTTAAAATAATATGAACATTTTTGCATGTTTTATTAGGCGTGGTATTAACCCTCCTCACAGGGTTAAATCTATATCTATGGCAAGTTTCACTGAGACTGAGATGCTGATGATTTTGAGCAGTGGAAATGATGTAAGTGTGGTTACCATGGCAACCCAGAACAGCAACGCCTTTAGTGAACATGGCAACTCAATCAATGTTACTATAGCAACCTGCATGTGGTTGTTACTGTAACAACTGAGGGTTGTGTTCATCTTGATACCATGGCAGCCAAGATATGCAGCCCTTTGACCCATCTGTTACCATGGAAACCTGGGCCTACTTTCTTTGAAATGCACAAATTCAGACCAAGCTTTCATCTTTATCTATCATACTCTTGTCGATTATAATGTACTTTTAGTCTTGCATAGAGACCATGTTACCTTCTAATGTTCAGAGCCATATAAGTACTGGCAGAAGTTGGTGCGATGAATAATTCATTAGTGATCTCCTCAGCATTAAATCGAGTGGGCGCAGCACCCACCTGAGAATTTAAAAGCAGGCTTGCACCCACCTGAGAATTCATTTCCACCCACTTTAAAATTAGAAAATCATGAAAAATGGATATATATTTTGACCAAATTTGGTTTGAACTATGAAAATGAAAATGTTGCGCACACTTGAGAAAAAATCCTTTGGAGAACACATTCATTTTGCTGAGGGTGGGGTTCATGGTCTGGATGCAGGACTAAAGTATTTCTGAATTGAGTATGCTCTGAATTACACCATACAGTTTAGTGCATAGTCCCAAGAAAAATTACTGACTTATGTCAGTGAATGGAAGGTCTTCTCAACAAGAGGCAAATACTTGAACCTATGCATTAGACTGACTGTATTTTAGGACATAATTACAGCACAACCCATGGGGAGCAGCTACATGCATGTTATGATAATCTACACTTATTGCTGTATATATCTTTTTTCACAGTTAATTAAGGCCACCCCCACCCTGTCTGCAGTATGTGGGTTAGTTGGACAATGAAATTCAGTCAGGTGGATATTATATCATTGACTTGATAAGTGATTGAACCCCTACCCACAGTGATCTTTCAAGCATTTAATCAAGTATGCATTGCACCCATTTGAGATTTTGAATATAAATGCTTGCACCCATTTGGCTTGACATCCCAGCACCTACTTCAAAATTTCTAAAAAAATCATAAATATTTACATCTTTATTTTGCTTAATTTTCGGGAGATCTGTGAAATAAGAATTTCACATGTCTACTTGAGAAAAAATCCTCGGGAGATCACTATCTTTTACCCTCCCTAGCACCCTCCTTGGAACCCCCTCTACACATTATATAAGGTCTCTTCCTATCTGTGATTTTCAGACGAGGTATAACTCCCCCGCACAGAGTCAAATCCATCACAATGACAAGCTTTTCACCAGATGATATAGAATATTTGAAATGCCACGGAAATGATGTAAGTCTTTATTGCACACTAGAACTGTATGTCATTTGTAAGGAAACAAGAAGTGTTGTGTCTAGCCCCAAGATCTGTAGCCAGGGGAGTTCAAAGGGACAGTACAATCTCCACCCCTGTCATATTGAAACTGAAATTTTATTCATATTTGGGCCTCATTTTCAAAAACAGGCCATATTTAAGTATCACTGAAAAAATGGGCCTCAGATTTCAAAAAGGGGCTTGCAGGGTCTGTAACCCCCTTTCCCTACCCTGCGTGCAGAGTCTAGTTAAACTACACTCTGCCTAGTAGAGACCATATTACAGTTTAGTAGCCCCGCCCCATGATGGGTACCGGTGACAGTATGGGTACATCACTTTTGACCTACGGCGCTGACCTTCCACCAATCAGCGAGCTTGAAGAAACATACGGCAAATGCGTTCTAATTAAATATGCGCATGCCATTGGTCAATTCCGGGCTCAACGATGACGTCAGAAGGAATGACCATATATAGAACGTCGGTCAAATTTGGCCGACGAACACTGATTGGCGCGGTGAGTTAACAGGTTTATTTTAGTTTGAAAGAGTGAAGACGAAGCTCTCTTGTAAGAAGTGTAGTCAAACGAATGCAAAGGGTACCCTTTCCCCCAATTTTCGAATGAACACCCTGCAAAATTGTGGCTACCATCCACCCCTCTACCTCTAGCCCTCCATTCTCTCTCAGAGTATAAGAGGTTGAAGGAGGGGAAAGGATCCACTCTGATTTAGAGGCTTGATATAAGTCAAGAAAAGTTTCCTAGGTAAAGTATTAAAAAGTTGTGAATTCAACCTGTTTACAGTATACTACTATACTTATTTGCAGGTTTTACAGTATTATGTCTGCCATATATCAAGTATAAAACCTCTTAAAGTCATATTATTACAGAGAATGTAATTTCAGCTCAAATAATAATAACATTATGAGAATTTTATGGTATAATCTTTGTAAATAAATGCTTTAGATTGGTCAAATTGACAATCTAAGTGATTAAGCAATGAAGCCACCTTCCTTAAAGGCAGAATCAGATCCATTATAGAGAGTGACAAAATTGCAACATGTACATTTGATTTACCAATATATTCCCTACAATTTCAAACATAATATCTTCCAAAATATCCACGATATGTTATCAATTGGTGAAGTTGTTTAAGTTGTTAAGTTGTTTAATACAAAATGTCAATGGTAATTTAAGATTACTGACTTTTTGATACCAGATTTAGAAAAGTGTTCACATTTTGATATATTCACAATTGGGAGGTGTTCATATATACCAGTTTTACTCTATTATATATATTTTGTGCCTGTTGTGAGGTTTTTGCATATAATTCCATGTTGAAACCATGGTATATGGCCATGAAATGCAATGAAATACCATGGTAATACCATGGCCGATCATGAACGTTAAATGGCACCATTGCATTTCATTGTTAACAGTGCGTTTTTAACATGGATTTTTCCATTGAAAAAATACTGCCGTTTCGCAGTATTTCATGGTCAGAAACCATCAAGTGCAATGATATCATGGTCAAGTTCTCGGCCATGATATCATTGCATTTGATGGTTTCTTGACCATGATATCATTGCATTTGATGGTTTCTGACCATGAAATACTGTGAAACGGCAGTAATTTTTCAATGGGAAACTCCATGTTAAAAAAATGCTCTTGACCATGAAATGCAATGGTGCCATTTAACGATCATGATATACCATGGTATACCATGGTCAATTAACATGTAATTTTGTATCTAAAAAATACCACCGTTTCACAGTATTTCATGGTCAAATACCATCAAATGTAGTGATATCATGGTCTAGATATTTAACCATGATATGCAATGGAGCCATTTAATTATCACGAACTACTATGGTATACTGTGGAAACTATACTTAACATTTTGCATTTAAAAATACTGCTATTTTGCAGTATTTCATGGTTGCAAACCATCAAATGCAATGAAGTACAGTCAAGATGTTTAATCGAAGACTGGAGGTTTGACTTGAAAAATATTAAGTTGATCTCCTATTTAACCGACAACAGTCAAATAAAAGTAAAGCATATTTGTTTAACAAAAAAAAAATGGTTTCTAGGGTTATTAACTTAATTATTCATAAAATAAATTAATTTATTAAATAAAGGAACAAAAGTATATAAAGTTGTGATTTTGATGAATATCAGAATCACTAATTATAATAATTTGGTTATCTAATCAACATTTATTAATAAAGATATTTCATGTAAAAAATATGTTTTGAACGTGGCCTTTCATTGTATTTCACTGCATTGCAAGAAAGATCATTGCATTTCATTGCATATCATGATCAATCATTGTATTTCATTGCATTTCATGGTTAAACGTGGTATTTCATTGCATTTCATGATCCATTTCAACTCTGACCAATTTTAGACTTGAGACTCTTGTAGAGTTCTTTTTAGCAATGAAATACCATGGTATAACCATGGTATTGGATGGTCAGGTTTGATGAAATACAATCAACCACGAAATGCAATGATATGCCATGATAAATGATAGTTATGATTATGGCAATGAAATACCATGGTGTGACTATAGTATTTGATGGTCAGGGTTGACAATAAAATGCCATGAAATACCACCAACCATGAAATGCAATGATAAAACCATGATAAATGAGAGTTATGATTTTGGCAATGAAATGACATGGTATGACCATGGTAATTGATTGTCACACAGTACAATGAAATGCCATTAAATGTCATCAACCATGATATACAATGGTAATACCATGGTAAATGATGGTCAGGTACATGGCAATGAAATACCATGGTATGACCATGGTATTTGATTGTCACATCTTATAATGAAATGCCATCAACCATGATATACCATGGTAAATTATGGTCAGGAACATGGCATTGAAATACCATGGTATTTGATTGTCACATCTTATAATAAAATGCCATGAAATGCAATCAACCATGATATACCATGGTAATACCATGGTAAATGATGTTCAGGAACATGGCAATGAAATACCATGGTATTTGATGGCAAACTTTGGACATGAAAAACCATGAAACATGGTATAACATGATATACCATGGTATACCATGGTCAAAAATTGACCAAAAAAACATCATTGCCACCATGGTCAGAGTTGATGGTAATTTCATTGCCGATCATGATAGACCATGGTAAACCATGGTATACCATGGTATCATGGTTTACGTTTAAACATGGTATGCTTCTGTCAGATTGAATGATTGTGATATAAAAATCATTTAAGTGTTATCTACAGAGCCCTACAGTTACTGTATTCATTTACCCTTTTCAAGATCTCCACTGCAAAGCATCATTTACAACATGTTTCCATAGAAGTAATTAATATTGTCAGTGTCTGGGCATCAGGCTTCCATTCAATATTCATATTTCCGGGATATCGTCTCAAGTATCAATTAACACGTCCTTAGTCGTAAGATGCGTGGGTTTAATTCCGTTTTTATCCCACTTGATAATATTAATAACAATAATTTCATTCAGTAGAACCTGTTGTGAATTTAAGTGAAGCACTGTCGGGACCTGCTCGTAGTATTCTCAGATATTAAGGTCTTCTGATTTTATTGTACCTGTCAGCTTTGGAGATGAGCAGTTAGCAGCCTCTTACTCTTTATGTCTGTACATTTTCAGACAAACCACCTTGTGGATTGATTTGAAATTTGAATGAATTTGAAATCTGATAACTGATGGGAGATGGGTGTGCTTGGTCAATTTTAAGAACCAATTTTTGATTTTTTAGTATGAAATAGTTCAAATATGCCTTGGTCTTTTTCTTTTAACTTATACCTTAATGATAATTCAAGATAATTCTGAAGCCTAATGTACAGGGGTGTGGGGCACTATTATACTTTTTTTTAAATTTGTAGACCTAACCCATCTTGGACTTCCAAGGTGGTTATAACTGCATATATCACATGTTTTAGCTAGTGAAACCTTGTGATTCAAGATGGACCTAACCAGTGATAAAATAGGCCTAGCATTGATCTCCATTATGAAAGATCACAATCTTCTATCGGTTTCTTTTTTGCAATACAGAGATTGTCTTAAGTATCAGTGAGAATGATAAGTCTCATACATTATGGTGAAATAAAAAAACTGTCATCTGTAATTAAGAAAAACATGTGCCATAAAATTTTGTTTTGATACTTTTTGGATTTTGTACTCAAAGTATTGTTTACTTATTACAAATGTTTTACTGTTTTTTTAACACACTGGTCTAATTATATGACGATCTTGACCTATTTACATATCATCATTCATTTGTACTTGTTGCCTATGTGTAATATGATACAGTATTGAGTAAATGTATACGTCATATGATTCAAGGTAACAACTTTGAACAACAAACTAGTAAGCGACAATTCGTAAAGGGTTCTCATCTTAAACTCAACTATTATATGATGTAAAATCATCAGATCAGTGATCCATTTCTAAATTCTAAATTTTGACAATTAAACGAGGAAATAATCCTTCACCTCAAATAACAGAATGGCTTCACCTTAGGAAGGGATTGTTCTCCTACATTAACCCTGAAACAAAAGACACTGTGCCTATCTTAAAATTTAACATTTAAACTGAAGAATAGATAACTTATTTCCATATTCATGATATTACAATTACTGATACTATATGCAATACTAGAGGATGATCACATATTCTTAAATATTACTCAGAATTCTCTGAATTAGAAACAACTGTGAATGTTTAATAAACTTTGTGCTCGAAAGTTTGAGGAATCATTTGCATGGGACTATGACATCTTAAACGCAATTAACAAGATCCTGTTGTGTGTTCTCATATTTCCTTTTCCTCACAGTGTCAGATAATTTTTTCATGCCTCTACCTCTTCATTTTAGTATGTAACAGAATTAAGGCGACATCAAAAGTATTAATTGACTGTCAGGAGAAAATAAGAATTCACACAAAAAGTTGAAATTTTTGAAAAATAGATTCAACAATCGTTCTGAAACAATTTGCTGACAAATTTGGATCACAAACTAATTGAACAAAGTTACAAATTGACTATATGGTAAAAGGATGGTCATTTGGACTTGAAATATTTGGATTGATTAAATACTATTTGGATTATATAAAATAGCAGTGATGGATACACTTCAGTTCAATTCTGTTTATGATCAGGTATCATTTTGCTGTTTTTTGTTGTTTTACAAATCTCTGTTATGCCACTCCCTAAGAAAGGTAATACAATTGGTATATACGCCAAATTTCTTTGGACAATGTTTGGTGGTTTGGGGTTTGGCATCTGTAACAAATGGTAGGTGGTGACATGTTGCATGTTAATGCCTTGTTTATGTCACTTCTAAGAAAGGTGATACAATTGTTATATATGCCAAATCCTTTTGGACGGTGATCGGTGTTTGGTCATTGGTGTTTGGCATTTGTAACAAATGGCAGGTGGTGCCATGTTGCATGTTCATGCCTTGTTTATGTCACTCCTAAGAAAGGTGATACAATTGTTCCCAAATCTTTTTGGACGGTGATCGGTGTTTGGTCATTGGTGTTTGGCATTTGTAACAAATGGCAGGTGGTGACATGTTGAATGTTCATGCCTTGTTTATGTCACTCCTAAGAAAGGTGATACAATTTTTATATATGTCAAATCTTTTTTGACGGTGATCGGTGTTTGGTCATTGGTGTTTGGTATTTGTAACAAATGCCATATAGTAACATGTTGCATGTTCATGCCTTGTTTGTTGTTTACAAAGTTTTGTTATGTCTATTTGTCCGGTTTTCAAGTATGCTCTTATTTCTTCATTTTATTTTCATATTATTGCATATATAGTAACAGTAGAAACGCACATCAGAACACCTCTCTTATCTGAAAATCACTCAATATGAACATTTTTTCATGATCCTAATTTTGTTATCTCCCACTGAGTCTCATATAAGAAGACCTTGAAATGTGAACACCTGCTAATCTGAACACTGTAACTGATCCCAGTTGCGTTTAAATCAGACAGACTTTGCTGTAATTATTTTCATACATAATCCATACATATTGTGTCTGTTATTTCAGTATTGTAGAAAAGTATGGCTAGGACTATATGACTCCAGATCAGGAGCAGAGCCTGATAGTCGAGACGAGAACAAAGTTAAAGAATTTATGAGTCAAAAATATGAAAAGAAACGCTGGTATGTGGGTAAGTATAAAACAAAACATTTATTGCAATTTGCAATATTTTAATGTTTTAATGAAAAATTTGACCTTCCAGTATCTTTTGGTATTTTAAACCAAAGCCCAAAAACTATTATTTTGGCATTGGACCTTATAGACTATGTTGTTGATATTCGGCCTTGATTGTTAGATTTTTTCAAATTTTTTAATTTCTTTGTTTATTCCATTTGAATTATAAAGGCTACAATACAAGATAATTGTCACGTATATGGAAACGGTGAAAATGCATCATGCTTTCATTGTTAAGATCTATGTCTACATTTAGCTATTATATGTCCTCATATTAACGTTTGATCCTATGTTGACTTTATTGACCTTTGACCTATATCTCTAGCGCCTTGGATCACATTAATACCATCAAGTACACTTCAATGATACGAAGATATTTTTGTGAAGTAAAATAAAATATTTGATGCGCTTTCATAAAAAAATTGACAAATGAAGGAAGAAGGAAGCCAAATATGACGTATGCGTGTTGACCTTCGACCCTGAATTATTTTTATTGACCTTTAACCTCTATTTCTGGCATCCAATAAGTCAGTGAGGGAAAAAACAAACACAATGTATCAGCGTTGACATTTGAACATTTATTGACCTTGTATTGCCTTTTTGACCATTGACCTTTATTTCCAGCGCCCAATGAGTCAATGAAAGAAGAAGCCAAACATATTGTATCAGTGTTGACCTTTGACCTCATATTGACTTGATTGACCTTTGACCTCTATTTCCAGCACCAAATGAATCAATGAAAGAAGAAGCCAAACATATGAACCAAGCAGCTATAGACAATAAAGCAGATACAAAGTCAATAAGGACTATAGCCCCTAATGCTCCAAAGTTGGTAGTCAATCAGTATCAAAAGGTGAGGAGATTATTAAGATTGAAGTATCAAATTTTAAGCAATGTGTTGGGTTGTCTGAGCGGTAGCAGAATGATTTAGTAAAATAAAAATGCATATTTGTCCATTTCCATTAATATGATATCACTGTTACCACATTTGGTTGGCATTTGGTGGTATCTGCAAGATCTCTTATGTATGGCTATACTATACTGAATTACATTGTGACATATTTCGGATTCTTGAATAATTTGTTTGTTTGGGATTTGCTACTCCATGGAGTTGCCAATTTCTAGTTATTGGCCGATATGTTATGCCCACCCCACACTTCTTCCATCTTAAGAGTTTAGCACTTATACGTTCCAGCCGCCTAGTGAACCTGCAGTTCAAAAGCCAGTACCGACTTCTGTCTCGAATGCAGCACCAGCCGCAGTTGCTCCCCAGGCAGCACCCCCAGCTTCGGGACTCCAGGATATATTTGGTGAACTTGGGGGTGATCCATTCAGTAGTGCCAGTTCTACACAGCAAGCACAACAGCCACCTGCTGGTAAGTACCCTTGACAAGAGTGTTTCATGATGTCTTTCCCTCTCTACATGGGATTGATTCTGGCAATTAACACCATTGGTCCCAATTCCTATTTTACCTGGTTTTGGAGATATTGTCTTCTCTTGCCAACATATGAGTTTGAATTGACATTGAAAAATATCAGTGTTGAATTCAACTTTACAGGTTTACAGTTTTCTCTGGGGATTCAACTCAATTTTTCAACTGAAATAAATATAATACAACTAACGGTTTTAGTCAAGTAAAACCATCTTTCTATGTCTTCAGGAGGTGGTTTTGCCAACTTTAACAACTTCGGTGCTCCCCAGGTGGCAGCACCTGTCCCACAATCTTCTGCAGTAGCACCCACAAGTCAAGCATTCCCTCCTGGGGGAGGTAAGATTTTATTTTTTTTATCTGAATGAATAGATAGATCCATGATACACCAACTGTCTTATTAATCATTCTTTGATTTTTTGCCATTAAATCTAGTAAATAATTTATTTTCAAGAATTTCTTATCAAGATTTAGTGAACAATTTATTGTCATTTATTTATTTTTATTTCTAGGTCTGTTACAACCACTCGGTCAGGCTTCACCAGCCCAGCCTAATGTACCTGCATCTTCCTCACAGAACTTCCCTGCATTCTCAACTCCTTCTGCAGCGCCATCTACAACACAAACTCAGTCTGGTGGCAATAAATATTCAAATCTTGCGGATTTATTTTCGGGTGATGTTAGCGAAGGGGGCTCACTTTTTAGCGGTGGTGCAACATCAGAAACTTCAGTATTTGGTGGCTCATTATCAACAGAACCTGTGGCGCCACCTGCTGGTGGAATTAATTGGGGCAGCGGAGCCGGAGGGCCAGATACTAACACAGGTGGGGGTGGTAGCCTTCAGTGGAACAGTCCAGCTACTAGTAGTGCTGGGAGTAGTGGTATTAGTTGGAATGGCAGTAGCAATGTGTCATCATCTAGTTCCTATAGTAACCAAGGTGTGTGTTGTCTTCTGTTCTTCTTAACCTTTCCATTTAAACCATGTTGGCAAATTATAGGGTGTATGACTTTTTGTAAGGGAGTATATTCCACACAGGCGCATAGCTAGTTTTTACCAAGGGGGTTCACTTTCCAAAAAATTCCAGGGGAGTTCACATTTGACAACTTTGGCCCAATTTGAATTGTGCTCAGAATCAACAGTGAAAAACTGCATGATTTTGAAAGAATTTTGGCCAGGGGGTGTTGCTCCCTGGCTAAGGACCTGCTACATAAAATAAAAAAGTTAGTACAGAATAGACGTTTCCTACTCCAGGCATTTAAGTTTTCTCTGAAAATTAGATGCAATGGAACTTCTAAGAAAGACCATCATGGTTTAGGAAAGGCTAAACACTCTGCTTTTTACCAATCTTAATAATATATTGTAATTTTTCATGTCATCTGTGGATCTTTGATGAATAGTAGCTGAAATATGATGAATTTGAAATCCTTTTTAGTTAGGGACCATCTTACATATCAGTTATTATGCTATCATCATATTACAGTATGTAGTTCTTAATTTAGCGACACCATCTTCCTATCTTTATATTATTCTTGAGCAATTTTTCTTCATAGCAGCTCTAATTATCTTAAAATGTTAATTATAATTGCTTGAAAATCAAATCTTCAGAGTTAATTAATGTTTTTAGTATTCACGGCTTCAGCTTTTTGGCAATAGTAATTTCAATCTTTAATATTCCTTAAAATTATTGTGGCACTAGAATTTGCTCATACATGTATATGGCTTCTTATTTATGAATTACATTAAGTACATGTAGTTGTCACATTAGCCATGTAGGCTCACTGTTCGTCACCATGTGAACAGTGATTGATTGATTTTTATTACATTTGGTATGATGGGGATATTTTGCTGTAGAACTATTTGTTCTGCCCACCGTCTGTCCATGTTGTGCTCTGCCGTCTGCCCCAAAGTATTCACATGGTGGCGAATGGTGAACCTACATGCTCTAAGTGTGACAGCTCCATTATACACGTATATGTAAAACGTGGTTTAAAATATGAAAATGGTACAATACCATGTTAAATATTTCTATATTTTCTTGCTTATTTCTTGCTAATTTTTCTCTTCCTCACCAGTACTCCAGACATGGAATTGATTCTGAAATAAATTTGCACACCAGAAAAATGTATGTGTTAGTCCATAGAATATGTTATAAATCTGTGAATAAAAGATCACTATGGTCTTGTTTTAAAATGCAAAATAGAATGAAAAAAGTGAATTTAGCAAGAAATAATGTAAACAGATGTGTAGTCCGTACTCTAAATTGTATAGAAATGCAAGAAAATCAGAAACTTCAATCAAATATTAGAGAGAAATGATTTGATATAAACATTGTGTGTGTGATATTTTCTTCACATCTTGAAAACATTGCTGTAATCTGAACATTCCACTATGTCTAGCTCAAAATGGATCTGTGTGTACAGTAGCGCCATCTACCAATCCATTTCTGATGTTGCTAGGTAACAAAGGATAACAATCTCAGCCTGGCTTCAAGTTGAATGTTAAACACACGCTAGATCAGTCCAGGTTTTCAACAAGGGGGAGTCAACTCTTGCAGTAGATTGCCAATAAAGCTCATAGTTTGCTCATGGACATTAAGTCATGTATTGGCAAATCTGTTTCAAGAGACACAGAGTATTTTTCCATGGTTGGTACTTTTCCTGGGTTGGGGGTTGATTACATATGTTGGAAACCTGGAGTTAAGAGTAGCTTAGACTGCCACAAATGACAGGGTACCATTGCTGATAGAGTCATGCACCAGAAACCTGTTACATAAATGAACAACTCATAGTGCATACTAGGGCCGGGGTGTCATGATATATTAAATAACAATCTACTGTGTATTTGGTGTATCATACGACTCTGCTTAGTACACACTATGCAAAACTGAAATAATTCATAGTCATAATATGCTATTCTTGATCATTTCAGTCCTGAATTTCAAGTCTGTCATTTTGCAATGGAGACCAAATTATACTTTTCTATACTACAGTTCTCAAACATTACATATTAGGATGGACAATGTGTCTATTTTTGTACACATTTCTGGCACACGCTAAAATCAGTCAAGGCACCCTGACTGCTCGGCAGGAATTAGTGGTGGTCTACCATCTATGAAGTTTGATAATAGAGAGGTTAAGTTTCTCACAATTGGGGAACTTGAACATAAATGTGCAATGATATGACCCCAATGTATCGTTGTCCACCTCCCAATTGGTTTAAATGGGGACCTTATTACAACTATTCTCCTTCTACATTCATAATTTATCAGGCAATTAAAGGCAAGTGAGAGGAATATGGTCGGTAGGGGACCATGATTTTGCATGTTTCACATACAGGTTCTTCAAAACACTGCTGCTAACTTAACCTTTCTATTATGAGGAATCATACAAAGATATCACTATGGTTGAATTCACTCATTCTATTTTTGTAATACAGTAAAACCTGACTGATTCTTGGTATGATTCAAACCCAAAGGGCGTAGCAAAGTATAAGACAGGCGAGGAAATGGCCCATCTAAATTAAATAAAAAGGAAAAGTTTGGATTCAGGCATTTTGTCATCTGAAATCCAAAGGTCATGAAGGTAGTATTATATCTCAGAGATTAGCCTCACCAACCAGTATTTTAATTTGCCTCATCTACGGGTATTTAAATTTCCCTCACCTATTTTAAGATCTTGGCTACGTTCTTTTAACTGCTTTTGTTTTGTAATGTATAGGTTTACAAATGGCTGTTCCTACTGTTTGAGTTTGCTGGTTTGTTTAAAGGCTTATTGTATATTTTCATATTTCCAAATCCAAAGTATGATTGCTTTCATGGAAATCCAGGGAAATGGAGACAAAATTGTACTGTAATTCAAATTTGGCCGGCTGTCTTAAATCCGTAGGATTGATTTGCGGTGTTAGCATACTAAGTAGGCAATCACAAGAAGTGGGTCATGTTTTTTGGACTTGGGTCGTGTTGACCAATTTCTCTGAGCTCAGCCTTTATGAATATGCCTGACCTTTTTAGGCCCAAAATAAAAACAATGGCTCCATAGCCTGAAACCAACCTTGACCCAGTGAACGTCGGGAAGTCGCTTAAGTGGGTCATGTGATTTGGACTTGGTTCTTGTTGAGAAATTTCTCTGAGCTCATCCTTGAAGAATATGCCTGACCTTTTTAGGCCCAAAATAAAAACAATGGCTCCATAGCCTGAAACCAACCTTGACCAAGTGAACGTCGGGAAGTCGCTTAAGTGGGTCATGTGATTTGGACTTGGGTCTTGTTGAGAAATTTCTCTGAGCTCATCCTTGAAGAATATGCCTGACCTTTTTAGGCCCAAAATAAAAACAATGGCTCCATAGCCTGAAACCAACCTTGACCCAGTGAACGTCGGGAAGTCGCTTAAGTGGGTCATGTGATTTGGACTTGGGTCTTGTTGAGAAATTTCTCTGAGCTCATCCTTGAAGAATATGCCTGACCTTTTTAGGCCCAAATTAAAACAATGGCTCCATAGCCTGGAATCAACCTTGACCCAGTGAACTTTAAGAAGTCGCTGAAGTGGGTCATGTGATTTTGACTTGGGTTGTGTTGAGAAATTTCTCTGAGCTCAACCTTGAAGAATATGCCTGACCTTTTTAGGCCCAAAATAAAAACAATGGCTCCATAGCCTGGAACCAACCTTGACCCAATGAACGTCAAGAAGTCGCAGAAGTGGGTCATGTGATTTTGCCTTGGGTTGTGTTGAGAAATTTCTCTGAGCTCAACCTTGAAGAATATGCCTGACCTTTTTAAAAACAATGGCTCCATAGCCTGGAACCAACCTTGACCCAATGAACGTCAAGAAGTCGCTGAAGTGAGTCATGTGATTTGGACTTGGGTCGTGTTGAGAAATTTCTCTGAGCTCATCCTTGATGAATATACCTGACCTTTCTAGGCCCAAAATAAAGTCGCTGTCTGTTCAGCTAGTTTTGAAATGATAGATCCGAAGCATGCTCTAAATACAAGATGGAAATGCTGTGGACATGCTTTTTGTCAGAATGCAATGTCTACTTAAATAACAAAAAACATTTTAGTTGACATTTGGCATAATAGCTGATTAAACAGTATACAAGTAAGCCAAAGCCAAGCATGATATTTATGAGCTAGGTCAATTGTGCTACAGTTAAGAAAAGTTTTGCTTATTATTTTTATTGAAGCTTTTTGGTTCTGTTTTAGTGAAAGATAAAAGTTGTTATCACTACAAGGATTTGTTACTTTGTTTTGACTAACTGTGTTTTGGCTTTTGTTTGGTTATACTAATTTGAAATGTTAAAAATAGTGTGACTATTATACACCACATGAGTGTCCAACAGTCCAAGTCACAGGCAATGTATATATGAATTTTGATAAAAAAAGTAATAATTCTCAAATTGTGTAATGTTTAATATTGAGATTTATTGAATAAAACCACAGAAACAAATAATTTCATATTTGTATTGCAGTAGATACAGTATATGATTTAGCCCAAGAAAGCCTCAAATGATTCTGGCATGTTTATCTTTAATTAACACGTAACCATAGTGATGGCTCTACTTTTGATCAATCATGATTGCAATGCATTATGGTTTTTGTACTTCCAGCGAGTGTAGGACAAATGAACGCTAATCCTTTTGGTGGAACAAATACATCAACAACCGGTGGGAATCCCTTTGGTGGTGGACAACCAAATATGGCAGGAGGCTTCGGAGCACAGCCTGGATTTGGCCAATCACAAGCTGGCTTTGGCGTGCCAGCGGCATCACAACCAGCTGCTCAGTCAACTCCGAATGCGGGGTTTCCATATTCTCAATCAGGGGGTTTCAGTAGTCAACAACAGCAACCCGGGGCAGTTGGACAATTTAGTGGTATGAATACACAGGCAGGGGGTGGCGGTTTTGGACATTTTGGACAACCGGCCCCAACTCAAACAGCTACAATGCAAAATGGTGGAGGTCAAGGTCATTTTGGGGGTCAGCCCCAACCGCAAGGTCAATGGGGTCAACCTCAAGGTCAAGTTCAGCAACCAGCAGGTGGATTTGGACAGTTTGGTGCTAAAGGTGGACAAGGGTTTGCTGCACCTCAGCAACAACAACCGCAGCAACAACAATTTGGTAGCTGGGGTCAGCCTGCAGCTCAACAGCCTGTAGGAAATCCTTTCATGGTAAGTATTGATGAAAGATAGAATGGAAAATCAGAAACGATTAATGTAAACAGGGATGAAGTCTAAATTCTAAATTGTATAGAAATGGTAACAGCTAAAAACGTTGATACATTAACCATTTCTCTTTATTTCAATGTAAACAAGGAAAAAGTAAAATATGAGATTTCAGTGGAAGAGATGATCGACCCAATTATAAAAGTATTATTGATTCAATGTTCATGTTTTCTTTCAGGCTGGAGGGGTGCCCCCACAGATGCAGCAACAACAACAACAACAACAACCTAGGGCAAATTCCACTAACCCATTCTTATAGTGACACCTTTTGGGACCCATAGGAATTACATCTTGACAAGAGCTCATGGCAGTCATATTTTAAATGAGAATTACAGTGAAACAACAAGAAATATTAAAGGAATGAAATCAACAGACGCAAAGTATAGATTCTAAATTGTATGGAATTGTAAAATTATCAGACATTTCATTCAAATGTTAGAGAGAAAAAAGCATGTAAAGTTGAATAGAAAAACAGAACTTACTGTAGTATGATAAATTTTCGCCAAGTAGACTCTTGGGTGGAATACTGGAATATAAATTTTATAGCTATATATATCTACAGTAATATATCTACAGGACCAATAGACTATTTTAATATTCATTCATAGACTTTGTATATGTGAAATGGCTCCATGGGAATTTAATGGTTTTAAATACAGTGGTAACTGTTAAAAGTGAATGGCTTTTGTTCGATGACAGTAAACCAAAAATCATAAATATGTGCCTCGAAGGTAAGATTTTCCAAAGGTTACAATAAAAATTTGTATTGACCTCTAGGCTATTCAGAAAAAGGTTTATGTCTTTGATAATTAATTAGCTTTGTTTGGTGTTAAAATTGGCATTTTGAGCATTTTTGTGTCACCATCTGAAAGAGTTAACAAATTGTTTTCACCTTCTTTTGTGTGAACGATGTCAGTAAACATCTTAAATAATTTGAAAATGATGACATAGATAATATGGAGTACAATCATTTGTTGGGACATCCTCCTCCAGAAGGAAGGAACTTTGTGTATGATTCTGAAACCCTGCGTTCGGAGGATGTTGTTGGGATTGCATTCATTTATTCTGTTTTCTTATACTTGATTTTCATTGGGCGTCACTAAAATTGCCCGCTGCATGATATCCAATCAAATTGCCAAAGTAATGAAAAGTACAGTATGTTGTTTTTTGGATAATTAATTTGGGAGAGTGATACTCGAAAGATACAGAAGATATGTTTCGTATTTGGTTACAAGTGAAGTCTTAATTGGCTCAATTCAAGAATAGGTTTTCACGTTTTCTATGTTTAGGGCATGAGGGAGGGGTTAAAAAGATAAATCATCATAGACTCTCTGTACATGATTGCAAAAAAATGTTATGTACAGTAAAATCTGTATATCCAGACACCTGTCAAATCTGTACATCTCAATGTGAATGCTTTTTCAGTCCCATTTTTTCAGCCACCCAAAGATCTTTAGGTGGCTCAGTAGAATTTAGTAATTTGGCATGCAAAGCTAAAACGATAGAGATGAAAAGCTGTACATTTTTATTCAATAGCCAGTTCAATCCACCATTTTGAAAGTTATTGAAACAGTCCAGGAGGATTCGCTCCCAGGGTTCCAACTCGATATTCTGCCATATATGTTTTCATGTTGCGATTACAAAATTCAAAGTCAAACAGCCACCATTTTTTCAAAACAGATAAGAACTGACAAGGTACTAATTCAAATCTTTTGGATTGCTGATTATAAATTTAAAGTCAGTTATAATGTCAGAAAATAACGACATTTTTGATGTGTTGTCGTTGTTCAAGGTCAAGATCGAGTTGGAACCCTGGGAGCCAATCCTCTTTGGAAACAGTCATGGATATTGCAGCCTGATAGCTAGTGTATCTTGAGACAAACCAGATCCATAACAGTTAACATAACCTGATAATGGCCAGTGGACCTAAAGTCTACAGTCAGGGTGTGTTGCAGTCCGGTAATCTGAACTTAACATTTAGATTTAGTAGATACAGTAAAATCGAACTCGATTAATATATTATGAATTTTTTCATGAAAATCTAACATTTACATGAAGAAGTGTGCTGTTCTGGAAATAACTGTATTTTGTTTTCGATATTTTGAGTAAATGATAAAAAAGTACATGTAGATACGATATGGTTTGAAATTACATTGTATTTGTGAAAGGGATAGAAAAGCTAGCCTTTATGAACAAACCTGTATAAGGATAAAATTATCAGAACTTCCATGAAAATAATTTGTAGTTCAAGTTAGCATTTAACTAGCCATTCTATTAAAATTCACTGTATTTTATGACTGGTGGTAATTTATATTATTCCAAAGAAGTTAGTATCTTTAATGTGTAATAACAATGTATATGTAGGTCATGAACTTTTAACTGTCCATATTACTGTATTATATCTATAATATTTTCAAAATGATAAAATAAAATTCAAAAATTTATTAAGTTGGTACTGTGAATTTGATGTATTTACCCTTAGATCTCTAAATATTGATAATTTCTATACATGTATTGATCAAATATGTCAAGTCAATGCTTTATTAGAAGAAATAGGATTTTAAAGCATTAACCCCCAAATGGTTACGGGGGTGGCAGATCTGGCTTTTCTTAAAACTGAATTAAACATGTTTTAGCGAAGAAATTGTGACTTTAACCCCCCTAGGAGGAAAGTTAGAGCTGTTCAAAGTTTAATTAGAAAAATACCCAAATTGTCAGTTTTTTTACTTGAAACGAGAAACCCATGTTCTTAGAATATGAATTTCTTCATTAGTTTAGTGAACACCACTTCAAGACACATTTTACATCGACTCCTTTATAAAATCACCTCTCCGTAGTGAACACCTATTTACCAACCCAACAGTGAACATTTTTTGTAGCTCCATAGGTGTTCACTATATGTACAGCTTTTGCTGTATAGAATCTGAGACTATTTTATGTAAGTCTCAGATAGAATATAGAAAAAGTATATGTTTGGCTTGAAGATGAGCTCTCTTGAAAGCCCATGGCTTGAACAAGGATCTGTCGAAAAAAACAAGGACTGGCTATTAGGTACTTTATACTGCCAATTCCTCCATGGGGATCTAAAAAATTGAAGAAAAATAGGTACCTGAATTTTTTTTAAATAAATCATGTTATTTTTTATTTCAACCTAGATAGGCCAACAAAACTTGATTTATTTGAAAAAAAAATTTGTATGAGAAAGAAATTGGCAATTCAAAATAAATATTTTGCTACCTGAGTATAGTGAGTAACATCAAAGTGTATCATTGTGACATCACACATTTTTAAAAATGCTTTAAAAGTTTATATACACATAAAATCATAGATTAAATGGTTGATATAGTATTACTTTTGTCTGATCTTTTCAATGGAAGAGAGAAAATAATGTGTTTTACAGTGTTAAGTATATTTGATAATCTAAAAATCTAGACATTTGTTTTTAAAATGGCGGGAATTAAATTAAAATAATTGCGAATTATAAGATGAAGAACTTTTATTTCGAAAGTCAAATTGTTCGAAAAATGGTTTTTCAAGTCATGAAAAGTAATGTTTGGACGATTTAAACCATGTTTTCAACTTTACACGAGGCCTTTAAAGTGTGGCTATTGGCTGTTTTAAAATTAAATCACAATGAAAAAATGCTCTCAACATCACCAGTCTGTAAAATTGCTTTCGCAGCATGTTGTAAAACAAATGTTGGATAATACCAGTTGTTTAAATACCAATTTCATTCTGGTTGTGTACTTTAAATTGATACCTTAGGTTTTCGTTTCACATATTAGATATAGTGCCAATCCTCATTTTCATATTGGCGGGAAATGAGGTCAAAGGTTAAAGCCTCATTCCGCGCACAGAAAAGATGGCCGCTGATCAGGCTCAGTTTCAAAGTTTATTACAGGGTCTTCTTAGCCCTGATAATGACATACGAAATCAACATCAGGTATGTATCGTTTCCCATATATATAAAGAATATTCATCCGAGATTTCCTATTAAATCGACCTACGAATCTTGAAATATCCACGTGTGAATTGAATGAATGAATATTTTTGGCCACCACGTTTTTCGATTTTCATGCTCCGGAAATTCAAATCGCAATCAGTGTCTGATAATGGCGTAGTTGTAAAGCTATTAACTTAACACGTGTTTATATTCTTAATTTCTAATGCATTTCACATTTCGTCTTGTGGGGGTTCAGCATCATTTGATCACTTTCCACATAGATCCCGGCAAGATTATTTTGTGTCAATAAATATTATTATTCTTTGAGCCTATGATCCTACTACAAAAAAATCTGGCCAACATCTGTGACTTTCCACATGTCATCGTCACTCGTCATTCTTTCTCATCAGCTGTTTGCCATCCCAGGTTACACTTCGAGAGCCATGTTAGATTACTTTTGTTCTCTAACTATGTCATACATCATTATCATCCTTCCGTGCAAGTATTGGAGCGCTGAAGTACTGTCTTTTCGATCAAGAGTTGTAATTGTTAGTCGAGTGAATGTTTTTTCTGCCAAATTCCAATGGGCCGAAAAAACATTAAGGTACAGCTGGAAAGTAACATTTTGGTAAAAATTGCTATACCTGCACATGTTATTTTCTGGTACAAAATAAAGTATGAAGGCATGTGTCAATTTTCTTGCTTTTTTCAGGAAAGTATCATTACATTGTCTTCTTTTAGAATATCTGGTAGGCGTTCAATGAGAACTCCAGGAAATTCTAATATTTCACACTTTCTATTTTTCCAAATTTTCTTTCAAAGTTTCCAGACAACACAGGAGCTACCATTGACCTGTTTCCAGATATTCTAAAAGAAGACAGTGTAATGATACTTTCCTGAAAAAAGCAAGGAAATACACACATGCCTTCATACTTAATCTTGTACCAGAAAATAACATGTGCAGGTATAGCAATTTTTTACCAAAATGTTACTTTCCAGCTGAACCTTAACTTGATGAACAATTTACAAGTCTTGATCGAAAAAGAATAAGTATACAAAAGCTAGGCCTTGTACAAATGTTTCCATTTTTACATCTAATCTACTGTATCAACTATAACATGACAAAGAAAAAATATCCTGTCTAGTGTCACAATGGGTTTGTGATTTCATTATCATAAGGTGAAATAAGCTAAGATTATTGCATTTGTTGTGTTTCAGAGCACATATGATGCCCTACCAATCCCTCAGAAGATCATCTTTCTGGTTCCAGCGATCAGAGACACAAATAGCGGAGCAGAGGTAACCACAAAACTTATAATTCTTACTTTTTTCAATCTTGTTATTTGCCTCATTGTAAGGCCGGTCTGCTTACACATTCAGAATGACAATCATTGTTTGGGGAGGTTTTGTAATTTCAGTCTTCGTTAAAATTAAAAACATACAACAGACACTTTTGTCTAAATTTTTATCAATAGTCTGATACTTGCATGATGTATATTTTCCATCTACCATGATCCGTGCCTCACTTTTCCTTTTGTTTTAGGTCCAGTCCATCGCAGCAGTATTACTACGTCGTATTATTACAACATCATTCGATGAATCCTGGCCAGCGCTCGATGTTGGGATTCAAAATGGTCTGAAAGACCAAGTACTCCACACCGTACGTGAGGAACAAAATCCAGTAGTGAAGAGAAAAGTCTGTGATATTGTGGCTGAATTAGCGAGAAATCTTTTAGGTAAGAACATTTGGGTGAATTCTGTAGGTGTGCTGTTCAATCAATGTCATTGTACCTTCAGTCACAGGCACTTATGCCAAGGTCACATTTGCTCCAATTCATCAGCCAGCGCCTGGCTGTTGCAGTATTTTATTCAAAATTGATTTCACCTTGACTTAATTTTTTTTAAATCATACAAAAGTTCTCGGGAGTTCATATATGACCTCAAATTTGAGATTTGACCTTCAATTTTGAACATAATACTCATGAATTTGAGCAAATGTGACTAAGGCATAACCAGACTTAAACATACTCTGAGCATTTTAGGATCCACATTGGGCTGAACACACTAATACATAACCTCCCGCTTTAGCCTTATCGAGGTCCACAACTTACAGTTGTTGGATCATTGGATCAATGTTGCTATATTATTACCTTTAACCTGTTTTAATCCCCATTCTGTACACCTAAATTACATATCTCAATACATTCTTGTGCTGCTCTCCAGTTGATCAAACCCATTTTGTTCAGTGGTGAAAGCTATTATGACTCAAGAAGATAAAGAATGCTTCAAATAAGCGTAAAGATATTTAGAAATCAAATCAATTAAAATGGAAAATAAAAATTGTTGATTCTCCTCCACCATTTTCAAAGGTATGGTAACAGACATGCATGTATCTTGATACTAACCTACAAGGTGTGTTCCAGGCTAGATGTTTAGTACTAGATCTGGGTCAAAACCCTGTTACATTAAACAGTCATACACTGTTACTTAGCAACCAGAATGAATTGTTTCATTTGGAAGCTTCAGTGGGTGACTCACATTTTTATTATGTCTCACGACAAGTGGTGGCATATTGTTGTAGTCTCTAACTTTTTTTGTTATTGTTAATAGCATTGGTGGTTAGTGTTTGGCATCTGTAACAAATGGCAGGTGGTGACATTTTGCATGTTAGTACCTTCTTATTGTTTGATGTAATAAGTCCATATTTATTACAGTTTTTCTAGCTTGTTTTTCAGGTGATTGTGGCAATACATGGCTTATGTTTGATTGCAAGTGTTCTGAAAAAAACAGTTATATAAAAAAATATATGTGGTTGCTCATGGACTGACAAGCTTGACCCCAGATAGTATATGTGGTCTCTCATGGTATATATATTACAATAAAACCTTTCTAAGTGGAACACATATGGTACCCAGCGCTTGCATTAGGTTAGAAAATTTGTGAGTCCCAAGGACGCAATTTTTTTAAAAAAAAGTGTGTCCTTTGAAAAAAAAGTGTGTCCCCTATTTCTAGCCTGTTTTGAGGTATAACTTTATTTTAAAAGCATTTTATACCAAAACACCTTGAAGTTAATTAATCTTGCCGCGAATTTAAAACGGAAGTAAACGTTAAGTACGGACTGAATAAATGCATGTTCGTTCATTTGACAATGAATACATTTTATTTCATGAATAACCTAATATTTGTTTCTGAATAGGAAAAACTGTGGCGTGTCATGGTTTCAAATCTAAAAATAAACAAAGTCGAAAAAATTTGAGAGAATCATGATTATTTGTAAATATTCAACATGTTGAGCCTTATTTACGATTCAAATAAAGGTGAAAGATCATGATTAGTATTGACCTAAAAAAATTTGCGTCCATAAAACGGAAATATTTTCAATTTTTGCGTCCTCCAAATTATTTTTGAGTCCTTAACATGTACGGGACGCCGTTAATGCAAGCCCTGGGTACCTCTAATAATCTTCCACCTGGGAGGTGTCACACTTACAGAGGATCATTTCTCATAAAGTCAGTTTATCATGGGACTCTGAAAAATGTTCCACTCGTGAAAGTGTTCCACCAACAGTGTTCCACTCTTCAGAGATGTTCCTCTTTTCAGAGATATTCCACTGTGTTTTACTCCCCATATTTATTTCTTGTGCACTTCCAGATGATGATGGCAACAACTCATGGCCGGAAGTCCTGAAGTTTATGTTTGATTGTGCACAGTCGGAGGACTCAGCCTTGAAGGAGAGCGCACTTAGGATCTTCAGTACCACCCCAGGAATATTTGGCAACCAGCAGGCCCAATATCTGCATGTTATAAAAGACATGTTACATCACTGTTTAATGGATGCTTCTCATCAGGTATCAGACTTAATATCATTTTGTGTTTTCACTGGTTAAGTAAGTGGATTTTTGAGGTTTTGAAAATAATCAAGCATTTTCTGATCAGTGTATCCACTTAAAAATAATATTTTTCTTATTGGCCAGAATTGTATGGTCCATGTGAGGTATGGCAAGTGATTTTAGACAGTCATATCTTTCACCATGAGCACTTTCTCGCCATAAATACAGTCGTGTTTTTTATGAAAACAATATGTTCTCTTTCAAATGAAGTCCCTTTTATTCAGTGCTATTATGTCTCCTTCCTTACACTTCTACACTTACAGTTACCATGCCAATTTGCCAGAGTGATTCATATGACCATGAAACAATGTCAATTTTGAAAAAAAAATGTTCAAAAAAGAAATCAAAGGTCTGCAGAGAAGAGTATTATTTACTGAATGCAGTTGTTTGGAGAATGCTCCGGAATGCAACGTATCTGTTTCCTTATAGCAGATTTGTTAATAGATGGAGTACAATAATGTATTACCCCTCTTCAGTGCTATAAGCTTATAATAATGCTTATTGTACATTTCTGGGTGAAAAACACTTTTTATCAGTAGAAAACAATATCTGTAGGTAGACAAATCATAAAAAACATCAACAAAGGTTTTTTTCTGTTATTTCTTTTTCTGAAAAAATGAATTGTATTTTTGTGTAAAATTTGAAAATTTACAGTTCTTTTTGTATTCCTTGACAAAAGAAATGACAAATGATCCATGCATTTGATGCTAAGTTTTTGTCAGTAAAAGAAACGTATATATCATGGATACATTGTTTCGTTTTATTCAAGGTGAGGTTTGAAGCTGTTAAAGCAACTGCTGCCTTCATTCTGGCAAATGATGAAGACGAAGAATTGAACATACAGAACCTCTTCAAAGATCTGCTCCAACTCATTGTACAGGTAAATATATCATTGTATGAGTAAATACATCATTGTACGGGTAAATACATCATTGTACGGGTAAATACATCATTGTACGGGTAAATACATCATTGTACGGGTAAACCTCATCATATAAAAATGTAATTAAACGTGTTGGATATTTCTCCGGAATGCAACATATCTGTTTCCTTGTAGCAGATTTGTTAATAGATGGAGTATAGCAATGTATCACCCCTCTTCAGTGCTATAAGCTTATAATAATGCTTATTGTACATTTCTGGGTGAAAAACAGTATTTTGGTAAAACTGAATCAACAAATGAAATATTCAAATCAAGAGACATGATTCGTCTCGTTTATTTTTGTCTTATTCTTCTCATGTTTTATTTTCAATTCTACTGAGAGATCATCGATGATTGTCTAAATTCGTTGATTTCCTAATCTTAAAACATTTGTATTCATTCTAGGGTTTTAGACTCCGTGGCACTTCAACAGGATGATACTGTGTGAAAGTGTTTGATATATCCGGTTGAAAATAACAAAACATTAATGTATACATTCTAGGGTGTTACAGACTCAGTGGCACTTCAACAGGATGATACTGTGTGAAAGTGTTTGATATATCCGGTTGAAAATAACAAAACATTTGTATTCATTCTAGGGTGTTACAGACTCCGTGGCACTTCAACAGGATGATACTGTGTGAAAGTGTTTGATATATCCGGTTGAAAATAACAAAACATTTGTATTCATTCTAGGGTGTTACAGACTCAGTGGCACTTCAACAGGATGATACTGTGTGAAAGTGTTTGATATATCCGGTTGAAAATAACAAAACATTTGTATACATTCTAGGGAGTTACAGACTCAGTGGCACTTCAACAGGATGATTCTGTGTGGAAGTGTTTGATATATCCGGTTGAAAATAACAAAACATTTGTATACATTCTAGGGAGTTACAGACTCAGTGGCACTTCAACAGGATGATACTGTGTGAAAGTGTTTGATATATCCGGTTGAAAATAACAAAACATTTGTATACATTCTAGGGAGTTACAGACTCAGTGGCACTTCAACAGGATGATACTGTGTGAAAGTGTTTGATATATCCGGTTGAAAATAACAAAACATTAATGTATACATTCTAGGGTGTTACAGACTCGGTTGCACTTCAACAGGATGATACTGTGTGAAAGTGTTTGATATATCCGGTTGAAAATAACAAAACATTAATGTATACATTCTAGGGAGTTACAGACTCCGTGGCACTTCAACAGGATGATACTGTACTAAAGTGTCTGATAGATCTGGCTGAAAATACACCAAAGTTCCTACGTGGTCAACTAGAAAATATTATAACCCTCTCTATGAAGGTATGTAGTACTTCTTACAGACTCATTTTAGAAAATATGTACAGTATAAATATGTTATCTGAGAAGTAGACCGAAAGATCTTTCTTTGAATCTTTGCCTTCTTTGAAACTTTCATTTTCTGCAAGTATGAAACTTCTATCTGAAATTTATGAAGAATTTCATAGTTTTCCTCTAAGAAGCACTGAGCAGCTATTTTAAAAAAATCTGATTTATTAATCCGGTAAATCTATCATCATTAAAAAGTTCTTTTGTATGTTTATCAGTATTATATACACCACATCCAATATGCAAGTTTCATGAATTAAACCCAGGGTATAATTATCCCAACGAACGAAGTTCGGTAGGGATATAGTGAAGCCCTCCGTCCGTCCATCAGTCAGTCCGTCCGTCTGTCCGTCCGTCTGTCCGTCCGGAAGATAACTCAAATATTAGTTGACGGATTTTCTTCATATTTAGTAGAAAGATGTATATTGGTGAATAGTTTTACGCAAAAAAAAAATTTTTCAAGATGGCCGCCGCTTTAAAAATGACGGGACTTTTGAAAAAACTTAAATTTTTCATTCTAAACCAAAGTAATTAATATTATTATTATTTGAAATTTTGGTAGTATATTCGCAACATCTATCTATTTCAAATATATTCCATGTTTTTCATCCTGACCCCCAGGGGCCGTATATGGGGGGTCAGGAAAACAGAAATTTTCGCTTATTTTTAGATCTTTCTGAAGTATAGCTTTATTATACTCAAATTAAAGGCAATTAAGAGTAGATTGCAAATATTGTATCTTTTTTCTGATTCGAGCCTCGTAAAATTCAAATAATTCAATAATTTTTCGATCCCTTCAAAGTATGGCTATATTATACTCAAATTGAAGGAATTTTGTAGTAGATCACAATTATGGTATTATTTTTCAGATTTGTACCTCAGAAAATTCAAAATGGCTGCTTTGCAGGAATTCGCAATTCTAAAATCTAAATTTTTCAATTTTAACCAAAGTAATGAGTATAATTGATTTGAATTCGGTAATGGATATTTTGTTGGTTGTGATTTGCTTGCTACTCCGCGGAGTTGCCGTTATCTAGTTAGATTTTTTGATGACGTGTATCATTTGAAAATTATGATTTCTTAAACATCAAAACACTTCGAAAGTTCTTCAAAATACAGGTGATGTTGGTTAAACAACTGTTGAAAATTGTCTGTAACATGCTGCTAATGTTTGACGACTGAAAAGCTTTAATTGAAATGATGAAAATCATCAATTTAATTTTCAGGTTTTATCAGATGCTAATATACCTGACTCATGGCGCCACCTATCCTTGGAAGTTATTGTCACACTATCAGAAACTGCGCCAGCTATGTTGAGAAAACATGGAAAGTTTATAGAACATTTAGGTGAGAAAGTTATTGAAATAATTACTGTTGATGCAACCCTCCATTTTTGGAATGATTCAGTTATGATGAAATCTTCTTGATAATAGCCGTTAGTTGCATTCGTGAATATACAACCTTAATTATTCATGAGAAGATATGGCAAATTTAGAGGTTTGCATTTTATGTGTCCCTGTATATTCTAATCCTCTAATATTGACCATCGAATTGAAAACATGCTGATAGCCTCATACTCATAATGAGAGGCTAGTTACAAGTATCATAGAATAAAGGACAGCAATCTGCTATGATGAAACTTCTAGCTGAACTCAATGATGAATTTCATAGTTTTTCCTCTAAGAAGCACTGAGCAGACCATTCATAATGCTACACATACAATTGATGTTTGATTTGAGAATAATGATAACATTAAAATGTCAAAGGTCATATTGACACAGCATAGGTGTATGACATTACTTCAGCATAAACATTTAACATTTTAGTCCCCCAGATCCTGGCACTGATGGTAGACCTTGAAGAAGATGATGACTGGGCCACAGCTGATAATAATGATGAAGATGACAATGACAGGTATGATCATATAGAGGAAAAATATATATATGTGGTCACTCATGGACTGACTACATTGAACCCAGATATTATATGTGGTCTCTCATGGACTGACCAACTTGAACCAAGATATAATATGTTGTATTACAAACCAAGCGAAGCATTTGTATGGGAGTCGATGTCGCGGAAGGTCGGCTATATATTCCTGTATAGCTGCCAAACTTTTTACCATGATAATCTTATGATGTCATTTTGCATTTCTCCCAAATTTCACTTGCACTCAGATGTTTGGCATCATTGATATAAAGTAGCCATGGAAATAAAGGTATGTAATACAACAATATTATGTACCGTATCATTGAATATATGCCTTCGGTCTATCGTAATAGAGCCCTCGCAAGTTTAGGCATTATTGATGACAGACCTTAGGGCTTAGGCATATATTCAGTGACTGACATAATGGCTAAGTCTCTCATGATTCAATGTTGAGATTGCCTGTGGTGCCTCATGGGCAAATCTGGTTGAGTTTATTATTTTCTGCACGGATGAAACTTCTCTCTGAACACCATGAAGAATTTCATAGTTTTCCTCTAAGAAGCACTGAGCAGATTACCTACTAGTATATCTTAACTAAACTAAAAATGTTTCTATGGTAACCAATGGTCCGAAAGATATCTGGCCCCAAAGATAACTGGTCCTTGAGACAACGCTTTCTCAAGACAATTCATACCAAGTCAAATTGTCTCCAAGTGGACTGGTCCGCACGTTTATATTTAGTTGTGAATCAAGTGTTGGACACTGAATGGGTATTGATATACAAATTATGATTGTTTGTATGACTGTACATGTATGTTATATTTGTAAATTTCAGTAATCCAATAGCAGGAGAGAGTGCGCTAGACAGACTTGCATGTGGTCTAGGGGGCAAGACAATGCTCCCTCATATCATAGCAAACATATCACAGATGCTGGCAAATGCATGTGAGTCTATCAAATGTATTGTGAATATCAAACGTATCGTCACGTGTGGCTTCAATTTTTCCTATGGCCGAGGCTGTACATGAAACAAAGTGTGATTAAAAAACATTTTTTTCATGAATTAATGCTAAGTTAAATGCTCCTACTATACTATTATTCTCAGTTTTAGCCTTAAAATAAGCAGGCAATCTAATTGACTGGAAGATGTTAAATTTGCATCTGCTGTCAAGGTCATTCCCATAATGCAATGCGAATAGCACTCTGTGCTGGATCTCTACCATAATCCAGTTCAATTTTTATATTCGCTAAATAAATGTTGCCTGCGTAGTGTACATCTTTTGTTATTAGGATATACTTTTTAATGGCAACAACATGAAAGCAAGTGATGAGTGTGCCCAATACAATGAAATACTAGAGATCCACAGCTTTTGAAAGAAGCCAAGGTCATGGTATAAATGCATTATACATTGGCTATTACTTTTTAGTGTAGGAAAAACATACTACTATTGTTTTGTACAAATACTGAGCAACATTGTTGATTGTTTCATGTGATGTAACATTCTTTATTTTAGTGGACTGGCGGTACAGACATGCAGCTCTCATGGCGATATCTGCGTGTGGTGAGGGGTGTCACAAAAATATGGAACTAATGCTGCATAATATTGTTGAAGCTGTACTCCCGTTTCTAGGAGATAAGGTATTAAATAAAAGAGCACTCACCGGAAAGTAAGGGGTCGTTGGTTCGATCCCCACGAAAGTAGACTGACTTTTTCACATCGGTCCTTGGTGCTGAATTTCGTTCATTAACTAACAAAATACTATCATGAGTCTTGAATAGAATCTGTCCCCATTAACCCCAAAGTGGGCTTGTTGAGTTTTATACTCACAGAAATTATGCAATATTTAGAATATAAATAGAATTTTTGAAAGTCTCCATTACTGACAGAAGTTGTGCAATATTAAAGATGCAAATAGAATTTTTGAAAGTCTAAATGAATTTTATAGCTTTAAACTGGTAAGTGGTAAACTCGTACCCAAGTATATATTTTGTTTTGAATCAAGCGTTGGACTGGGAATGTGAATAGATATACAATATATATTTGATAAAAAAGGTGATCCAAGTTAAATCTAAATGCTTAACTGATCCATTGAGAAAAAATGTCTTCTAAATTCAAAAAATATTGAGGCTTATTTGATTCACATTATAACATGAAAACATTACAAACTCAATTTTTTTCCCTAATATGCACCCATAATACTGAAAATAATCTTGGGTACCAGTTGTCTTGGGTACCAGTTGACTAGGAAGCTTCAAAGTTGATGATCATAGAGTTGCCAATGGTCTTGCTAATGAAATAGTCTGCTGTGATGAAACTTCTCTCTGAGATCCTTGAAGAATTTTATAGTTATCCTCTAAGAAGCACTGAGCAGACCCTTGGTGCATGTAACTTGAAGTTAGTTGATTTGAATTAACTTTTCAAAAATTTGAAGTACTAATGTGTCATTTCATTGTTGAATTTCAGCACCCTCGAGTACGCTATGCAGCATGTAATGCACTAGGACAATTATCAACTGATTTCGGGCCAATTTTCCAGAAAAAGTTCCATGAAAAGGTAAGATATACAGATTAATCCTGTTAAAAATTCTAGAATGTGAATCAAAATATGTTTATTTGAAAAAAACATGACATATATCATTTGAATAAGGTGTGACTTTCTTGATTTCTTGAATAAGGTATGACTTTCTTGATTCTATTATACGTCTGCTGTCAAGGTCATTCCCATAATGCAATGCGAATAACACTCTGTGCTGGATCTCTTCCATAGACCAGTTCAATTTTTATATTCGCGAGAGAAATGTTGTCTGCTAATTATGTATATCTTTTATAATAGGATGTGCATGTATAATGACAACGACATTGGACCAATATAAGATTCAGCTTGAACAAATGTAAAGCTCCAATCAAAATTGAATGTGTAAAGGGTATCAGCCAATGTAATGAGTTCTACCAAAATCCAGGCTCAGCCAGTTAATATACTGAAGAAATTTCCAAAGAGGAAATCAATTTTTTTCAAAATTAAAATGAAGAATAAATACATGAATTGGAGCCAGTAAATGTGTCACATTAAATCGTTAATCACTTGGCAATGCGTGAACATAATAACACCATATTTGGACATTTCAGGTGGTAACGGGTTTACTTATAGTGATGGGCGACTATCCTAACCCAAGAGTGCAGGCACATGCAGGGGCAGCTCTCGTAAACTTCAGTGAAGATTGTCCGAAAAACATAATAACTCCATATTTGGATGTGATAATAGCCAAACTCGAACAAGTTCTAAGTGCAAAATTTAAAGAGGTAAGATTACTTGTCCAAATAATTACAAAAAATACAAGGCGAAACTATTTATTTGGGAATTCGAAATACTGGAAAAATACTGTATTTACAGATTCTGTAGTTTGCCATGATGAAACTTATATCTGAACTAAATGAAGAATTTCATAGTTTTCCTCTAAGAAGCACTGAGCAGACATCATGCAGTATTTATCCCAACGAACGAAGTTCTGTTGGGATATAGTGAAGCCCTCCGTCTGTCCGTCCGTCAGTGTCAGTCAGTCCGTCCGTCTGTCCGGAAGATAACTCGAATACTAGTCGACAGATTTTTTTCATATTTGGTGGAAAGATGTACGTGTATATTGGTGAATGGTTTTACACAAACAAATTTTTTTCAAGATGGCCGCCAGTTTAAAAATGGCGGGAATTTTTCGCTAAAATCTTATGTTTTTCATTTTAAACCAAAATAATAAATATTATTATTTGAAATTTTGGTAGTATATTAACAACATCTATCTATTTCACATATATCCCAGGTTTTCCACCCTGACCCCCAGAGGGCGTAAATCGGGGGTTGGGAAAACAGGAATTTGCATTAATTTTGAGATGTTTTTGAAGTATATCTTTATTATACTCAAATGAAAGGCAATTTAGAGTAGATTGCAAATATTGTAGCATTTTTCTGATTCGGGCCTCAAAAAATTCAAAATGGCCGCCTAATGCAGGATTTCGCAATTATTTTATGATCTCTTAAAAGTATGGCTATATTATACTCAAATTGAAGGAATTTCAGAGTAGATCACAATTATGGCATTGTTTTTCTGATTTTCGCCTCTGAAAATTCAAAATGGCTGACTAGAGCAGAAATTCGCCATTACTTAGAGTTATCTTTAAAGTATGGTTACATGATACTACAATTATTTAAAATATTTATTGAAGGTAAGAGTAGAAGGTCAATATTACATTGTGACTGTACAGATTGATGATTTATATAGTGTTTGTTGGGATTTGCTACTCCGTGGAGTTGCCATTCTCTAGTATATCACTAGTTTACCAATTATTATCTTGAAATGCATTGAATAATATAATATTGGAAAGTTGAGGTGAAGATGAATTCTCAATCACAAATTTAATTTATTAGGCGAGACGTGGGGGAATACAACCATTTCACTAAGTAAAGAATTCAAGTGTAGAATTTTTTATCTTACGAGGAATCTTAGTGTTATATTAATGGAATTAATTTGGTTTTCCACATCTTTCACCATATTAAGTTACTTAAATGGTTTATTTGTCTTGATAGCTGTTGGAAGTTGGCAACAAGATGGTTTTAGAGCAAGTTGTCACTACCTTGGCTTCAGTGGCAGATACTGCAGAAGAAAAGTTCATAGCTTATTATGACAGGTATGTATCTAATTGTGACTGTTATGTAGCTTATTATGACAGGTATGTATCTAATTGTGACTGTTATGTAGCTAATTGTGACTGTTATGTAGCTAATTGTTACTGTTATGTAGCTAATTGTTACTGTTATGTAGCTAATTGTTACTGTTATGTAGCTAATTGTGACAGTTGTGTAGCTTGTTATGACAAGTGTGAATCCGTGTTCTTGCCAGGATTTTTCTTGACATTATCATTTTGCAAGTTCGACAAATTTTGGAGAAACATGCCATTTTTCATGATTTTCTTATTTAACTTGTGCAATTGGGTTTTCAAGAGGTTGTAAGTCTTGTTGAAAGTCTCATGTTTCAACGTTAGGGAGAGGGTATGTGAGATCACCGTTTTATTTTCAACGATGCGATTAAAGCACAAGAATACACTGTACAATGTGTTGCAATGATGATATTGATATTTGCTATCTGAGATTCGCTGAAGTAACACAATCTACCACTAAGATCTCTGAGCAACACACTATTGTTACACTTAAAATTATTTAACATTATTACAAAATAATTATCATATCATGTATAAATTAAGATAAAAAGGAAATGTGTTAGTAATACTTATAACAGATTGAAACTATTGAATACAAGTTAATATAATGCTCATGTAACTACCAAAAAAAAAAAATTTTGAAAAATGGCCGCCATTTTAACATATTTTACTATAACTAGAAAAGTAGTGGAGCGATTTTGTTCATATTTGGTATGTGAATACTATAAGCATGGCACACTGTCCTATGACACTTTTGGTAGAAGGCGGCCATTTTGAAAATTGATATGTGAATACTCACGAGCCTTGCACACTGTCTCATGACACTTCGGAAAGTAGGCGTATTCTTTCACCATGAGCTGTGCTTTCATTATAGGTTCATGCCATCTCTGAAGTACATAATGCAGAATGCAAATGACCCAAAGCTGAAACTCCTGAGGGGTAAAACCATAGAATGCATCAGTTTAATAGGGCTTGCTGTAGGCAAAGACAAGGTAGGTCTTCCCCATATCTTGTCTTCAGTTTGCATTTTATTAAGTTTTTCCTCTGTTATGTGTTTTTTATCACACCATCGGTGGGATATAGTCGTCATACTGGTCGTGATCGTGGTCGTGATCGTGGTCGTGATCGTGATCGTGGTCGTGGTCGTGATCGTGATCGTCCCGCTTTTTGTCATCGCCGTTTAAGGAAAACTGCTCATCAGATTTTCTCCAAATTCGCAGAGATGATAGAGCATATGAAGTACTAGAGCTGATTAACTTTTGGGTGGCCATCTTGTTTTCTGGTGGCCATTTTGAAGGTTTTTCGAAAAATCTTGTCATCGCCATTTCAGGAAAACCGCTCATTGGATTTCCTTCAAATTTACACAAATGATAGAGGATATCAAGTACTAGAGCTGATTAACTTTTGGGTGGCCATCTTGTTTTCTGGTGGCCATTTTGAAGGTTTTTCGAAAAATCTTGTCATCGCCATTTCAGGAAAACCGCTCATCGGTTTTCCTTCAAATTCACACAAATGATAGAGGATATCAAGTACTAGAGCTGATTAACTTTTGGGCGGCCATCTTGTTTTCTGGTGGCCATTTTGAAGGTTTTTCGAAAAATCTTGTCATCGCCATTTCAGGAAAACCGCTCATCGGTTTTCCTTCAAATTCACACAAATGATAGAGGATATTAAGTACTAGAGCTGATTAACTTTTGGGCGGCCATCTTGTTTTCTGGCAGCCATTTTGAAGATTTTTCGAAAAATCTTGTCATCGCCATTTCAGAAAATCCGCTCATCGTATTTCCTTCAAATTTACACACATGATAGAGGATATCAAGTACTAGAGCTGATTAACTTTTGGGCGGCCATCTTGTTTTCTTGTGGCCATTTTGAAGGTTTTTCGAAAAATCTTGTCATCGCCATTTCAGGAAAACCGCTCATCGGATTTCCTTCAAATTTACACAAATGATAGAGGATATCAAGTAGAGCTGATTAACTTTTGGGCGGCCATCTTGTTTTCTTGTTCTTGAAATTTGTAAACATAATAGGAGAACAGTTTTCCTGGTTCATAGTGTCTGCCTATTTGATGGTGTGATCTCGTTCACGTCCTGTGCCTTGTTGCCTATTATAACACCCTTCAGCAGTCAGGAATCAACATCACAATTCAGAAGCTTCAATACCATTGGAAAATTCTTTCATCAGGGGTTTCACTAGAAATTGTCACAACAGGCTAAATAAATGAAAACAACAGGCAAAATTAATAGAAATCATAAATTTAACATGGAAAAGTTGAAAAGTCAACATCAGCTGGTTTTGTGAAAACAACCCGTGAAAATCGCTTGTTGCCTGCTGCTAACGAAACCCCCGTTCCTCATTTGGTGATTTTAAGGATCTCTTTTAACACACATATGGCTGTTTTCAGACAGGTTAAATAAATGAAAACAACAGGCAAAATTAACGGAAATCATAAATTTAACATGGAAAAGTTGAAAAGTCCCTAAAAACAACAGTCGATTTTGTGAAAACAGTTGGTGAAATTCGCCCGTTGCCTGCTGCTAATTAAACCCCTGTTCATCCTGAAGACATAACATGCCATGTATATATATGTTGATCACTTGTTCATTTTGATAATCATTTTTTTCAGTTCATAGCAGATGCTGGTGAAGTGATGCAACTTCTGTTGAAGAGTCAAGTAAATGTTGAAGAACTTGACGATGATGATCCACAAATCTCCTATATGATCTCAGCATGGGCTAGGATGTGTAAGATAATGGGCAAAGAGTTTGAACAGTACCTGCCTCTAGTCATGGGCCCGGTTCTCAAAGCAGCTTCTATCAAACCTGAGGTCGCAGTGCTAGACAGTAAGTCCCATTTCACACAATATGACTTATTTGGAAAGATGAACCTCTGTGTGTTCTGTCCTTGGGGCTGCTTCTATTCAACCCATACGTGGCACTACTTAATAATGAACTTCCTATTTTACATACACATTATTCATTATCATCTTTGAAAGGGTCATATGATGAGTTATTTTTTGTACAGTTACGGGAGGTATGTTCTCACTTTTAAAACTTTTGAGTGCCTTTTATTCGCTGTCACTATTTTTTGCTAAAATTCCAAATAAGCAAATATTATTCAAGGAAATCAAAGATTTGAACAATTATGTGTCAATTTTACAAATAAAGAATTCCTGATATTATGAAGCGAACAATTTGTTGACTAAATGAACTTGTATATTCAATAATATTAACAAAAATGAATATTTAGGAAATATTATTCTTGTCATGATAATAGTCATTAATATTCTTGTCATTGTTATTACTACATTCATAGATGACAAAGTCATTCGGTCATTCCTTCTTGGTAAGGGACTTCAAATCATTTCTTTACGTTTTCTAAATCTGTGTAATTTCTCCATTTTTCAACTTTTTCATCTTTCCTTTATTGAATTTAATGTATGCATATTGTGTGTGTATTTGTGTTTGTAATTTCATTGAATTTTTCACATTTCACTTTTTCTTGTGAATCTTTTTGTTACACATAAATGTTTATTCTAGGAAAAAAGAAATTATCATGATTTTTTAAAATTAGATTGTAATGTCAAAATCATGGTCTTTATATGTAAATTATGCTTGTGTGTAAACCCCCTCACATTTTACAATAATTGATTTGTAATATTTAATTTCTTGGGTATATTTGAAATGTTATACTAAATATTATTCAAAATCTTTAGGAGTTAATTTTTTTGATGTTTTATAGCATGATTTGAAACTTATGTTACATATAGTATCTGTTAGTAATACTAAATTACATCTAATACTTGCTCCTCCCTGTGGAATAACATAGACTTACCCTTGGTGTATATTGGGTGAGTCCAAGTGTGATATAAAGGGGTGTTATGTTGTCTGTAGGTGATGACATGAAAGTGATGGAGAATGACTCTGATTGGCAGTTTGTTACCCTTGGCGACCAGGTAAATAATTTGTTACCCTTGGTGACCAGGTAAATACAAATTTATCATTCAAAGGAGGAAGTATGTGAAACTATGATGGTTTGAGTAGATTGAAAAAAATAATAATAATGGTAGTGATCTCCCCAGTATTAAAGCAAGTGGGTGCAGCACCCACTTGAGATTTTAATAAGAAGCTTGCACCCACTTTAGGATCCATTTACACCCACTTGAAAATGAGAAAAATCATGAAAATAGGCATATTCAAAAAATGAATTTTTTGCACCCACTTTAGCAAAATTCTTGGGAGAACGTCTGAACACTGAATGAGTTGTGCTAAAAAACTTGAAAATGCTTACATTGATATAACCTCATTTCATTACAGCAAAGTTTTGGAATCAGAACAGCAGGGTTGGAAGAGAAAGCCACAGCGTGTCAAATGTTGGTGTGCTATGCCAGAGAATTAAAGGAGGGATTCGCAGCCTATGCAGAGCAGTGTGTACACATCATGATACCTTTGCTGAAGTTCTACTTCCATGATGATATCCTTTAATTAATTAATTAATTAGCATATTTGTTGTTGATACAAACTAATGAATATGATTTTTATAACCAATCAATATAATTAACTTTTTTGATGCAAGCAAAAAGGTTATATCCAAGGATGTAAAATTTGAATATTCTTTGATTAATGAAAACACAAAATGAAATCCTGCACCAAGGCCTGGTGTGAAAAGGTCAGTTCACCCCAGTGGGGATTGAACCCACGACCCATCATTTTCTTGTGAGTGCTTAACTACTTGGTATAAATAGTAGACTTCTCGGGGATTGTTTCCAGTTGTCAACACTTCAGTGGAAATGAATTTCAGTGTTGCGATGATGATATTGATATTTGCTATCTGAGATTTGCTGAAGTAACACAATCTACCACTAAGATCTCTGAGCAACACTGAATTCATGTTGTAGACCCCTATCATATGTTTTTGACCAGAAGTCAATGTAGGATAGCATATTAAAGCTAGCTCATGTTTCATTCCTAAATCTATTCCTCATGATTACATTAGATTGGAACTTTATGACAAATTTGATTATTGCCAAACATAACCAGACTTTAACATTGTGTCCAAAATGGAATTTGCTATTGCCAAATCTTTGGAGAGGAGTGTATCTCTTTGAATAAGTTAGTACAAAGCCTCCATCATAAGTAATGTATGTGATATTGTTAATTCACAACAACGAGTCATGACATATTGTTATAGTCTCCAACTTTTTGTGGATGTCTTTATTAATTCTGTTACATTCCTTGACTTCACTCACGAGTGCGAGTGGCTGCAGCTGAGAGTATGCCGTTCTTACTAGACTGCGCCAAGATAAGAGGGCCCGAGTATATCACACAGATGTGGTCTGCAGTCTGCCCTGAACTCCTCAAAGCTATTGAACATGAACCTGAAAATGATATTAAGTCGGAACTTATGCACTCATTTGCACAGGTAACGTCATGAATTTTAATCTGATCTAATGATTCAAATTTTGGGAAATTTCTGCTTGAAGACATGAACATTTTGTTTGCTATAAAGTAAAGATAGAACAAATCAGAATATTTAGTTGACACTAGCACAAATTATTACATTCAAGTGTATTGTCTGAGGAAGGAATGACATTTTAATGGATGAAATTTTAATATTCAATAAATTAATCACAATTGGGTACAAAGATCTTGTGCATTGACAAATATATATCCATTTCATTTATTTATTGATCTAGATGATGGAAGAATTTTGCATTATATGTTGCGATGATGATATTGATATTTGCTATCTGAGATTCGCTGAAGTAACACAATCTACCACTAAGATCTCTGAGCAACATTTAATAAAAAATGCTTTATCAGAAAATCAGTAATATTTCTAATGATAAATATCTCCCAAATCTTTGGATTTGATAGATATACGAGGGGTGATCAATAAGAAAGAAATCATTGAAATTGGTCAATAAGAAGCATTTTAAAAAAACGTCAATTACTTATTGATCACCCCTCGTATATTTCATTTCATAAAGATGCCGCAGCCACAACGCAACCTTATATATCCCATCATACCCCTAATCAAATATCCCATCATGACACTGGTTGTGCTTTGCTTTTTAGTGTGTGGAGAGGATGGGGAATGGTTGCTTGAGTGCGGAGGTTATGGCTGAACTATTACGTATCTTAGACAAAACACTTAAGGATCACTTCATGAAACAACAGAGTAGGCAAGGTAAATGTATTGATGGCATATGCAAATTATAAAACCAAAATTGGCGAATGATTAAAAATTGTTATTTATAAATCTGCGATGATGAATTTCATATCTGATGAAATGTGACGATTCTTTTCATTGTCCTCTAAGAAGCACTGAGCAGATATTTCCTATTCTATACCCATTTCTCCCTGTTCATAAAACAGAGAACACCTTCCTTATGTTCATAGATCTTTGAGGACTCCTGCTGTAATCAAAGACCCAAATTATTGAGACTGAAACTTTGAACACGCTTCCAAGCCTCAGAATGATGTGAATCTTACACTTAGTCATGTCCCTCGTTCAATTCAACACTTTTAACCAATAGAAAATATTCATGGTTTTAGTCGTTCCTCTACATTCTGCTTCATTGAAACAAACAGCTAATTTAACAAGAAAATTAATTCTATTAAGTAAAGTATCTTTATAATTATAATCAAATTTTTGTGTAATGTGAAGTGTATATTCCATACATGCAGTGTTCCCTCATATGAATGTGTTGTTATTCAGATGTACGTAAAGTTGAAGACTATGATGAAGTAGTTGAAGAAACACTATGTGTATATTCAATACATACAGTGTTCCTTCATATGAATGTGTTATTTTTCAGATGTACGTAAAGACGAAGACTATGATGAAGTAGTTGAAGAAACACTATGTGTATATTCAATACATACAGTGTTCCTTCATATGAATGTGTTATTTTTCAGATGTACGTAAAGACGAAGACTATGATGAAGTAGTTGAAGAAACACTATGTGTATATTCAATACATACAGTGTTCCTTCATATGAATGTGTTATTTTTCAGATGTACGTAAAGACGAAGACTATGATGAAGTAGTTGAAGAAACACTATGTGTATATTCAATACATACAGTGTTCCTTCATATGAATGTGTTATTTTTCAGATGTACGTAAAGACGAAGACTATGATGAAGTAGTTGAAGAAACACTATGTGTATATTCAATACATACAGTGTTCCTTCATATGAATGTGTTATTTTTCAGATGTACGTAAAGACGAAGACTATGATGAAGTAGTTGAAGAAACACTATGTGTATATTCAATACATACAGTGTTCCTTCATATGAATGTGTTATTTTTCAGATGTACGTAAAGACGAAGACTATGATGAAGTAGTTGAAGAAACACTATGTGTATATTCAATACATACAGTGTTCCTTCATATGAATGTGTTATTTTTCAGATGTACGTAAAGACGAAGACTATGATGAAGTAGTGGAAGAAACACTATGTGTATATTCAATACATACAGTGTTCCTTCATATGAATGTGTTATTTTTCAGATGTACGTAAAGACGAAGACTATGATGAAGTAGTGGAAGAAACACTTCTGGATGAGAATGATGAGGACGTGTACATATTAAGCAAGGTTTCCGATATCATCCACTCCCTATTTGGCACTCATAAAGAAGCCATGCTGCCATATTTCGAACACCTATTACCACATTTTGTTAAATTATTGGTAAGTAAAGCTAAGCCTGTTATCCTGTGTTAACCTGTTAAAGATACTGAACTTGCACCTGGACCAACCATATAGTCAACATGCCAAACAGTGCTCTGTTTGAGATTGAAAGAAATCACTTTACTGTGTTTGTGATGGTTGCCATATTTGGTTGAGAGATGGTTAATAAATTTATTATGATTGATGAAATGGCTGCCACTTATTGATTTTTTTTATACTGAAGATTCTTTAGATTGTCATTTAAGGAGCCCTGAGCTCAGTCATATCAATGGGATTAAATATAGAAAAAATTCAAAATTAATGCCCAAAAGAAAAAATCAAAATGGCTGCTAAAATATAAACTTGTATACTGTAGAAGTGGAAACTTTAACGACGTGGAAACTTTGGCGAAATTTAGCATTGAAGGAGAGACGCCAAAATAAAAATTCGTAGAAAAATAGAAAAAATTTCGGTGGGCGATAATACCGTGAAGAATACAGATCGACATCCAGATGCTGAATTTCGTTTTGAATACATAAATAATACATACCTCAGTGTTTCATCATCGATTTACAATCATAATTAATACCTATTTTGTTTAGCAATCATGTTTTGTTGCCCTAAATGATGAAAACATTCCACTAATTTTTCGAATTTTCGATCACAAAATCTGTAATTTGATTGGATATCTACTGTCACGTGACAACTTATCACTAACATGAATGACATGATTATTTTATATAGATCTATACTAGTATTTATTCCTAAACAAAACATAAGATACTGAACAAAACATAAACACAAGTCAACATCCACCTACAATAGTACAATAAATAGAATAAAGTTTGATAGTGAATTAGCCGAGTTTGTTACTTTTATTTGATTGTTTGTCGGGTATTAACACCTACTGACGGTTTGAGCACATTGATTGGGGATTACACACAAACATAAACGACTTACTTTTGATGGTGACACGCCATTCCTCGAAAGGCAAGTTTAATTATAGGGCTAATAACGGTGATATAGAGCTAATAACTGTGATATACATGTTTACAACTCGGGGTTTACAAAAATGCAACCAATCGTGATGGTGAATAAATGCTTCATGATAACCTAATAATAAGCTTATAAACTCCAAGTAATTTTCCATTTTCTTGATTGCTGGTCCGGGAAAGTTTAATTCGGCAATAACGTTTTAGGGACCATCTCGCTAAAGTTTTGTTTCGCTAAAGTTTCCACTTCTACAGTATACCTTAGATGTATTCCTCTATATTTTGCAGTGTTTATGGAATACATTTTTTTTATTTCAGAACTCAGATCGGCCATGGCCAGACAAACAATGGGGACTGTGTATATTTGATGACCTTATGGAGCATGCAGGGCCTGTAAGTATCCCATAATGCACTTGCTCCAGTTCCAAAAGTTTCAAAATAATGTGACATTACAGAATAAAATTCACTAATCTTACACTGCATGTTTGGTAATGTTTTTTTGTTGATCTGTATGTTTTTCAATAAAATTATTGATTGTATTTGAAGGAACTGTTGGGATGCTTGATGTTTGCTGGGATAGCTTGAAGTTACAAAAGATCAACACAATTTTGAATATGTTCAGTATTTCACTTAAAAAAATGTCATAAAAACATCATAAAACGTTTGACAATTGTGTATTATACCTTTGGATATTGATCAATTCACAGAGAGTCGTCAATTTTCATTTTTTGCAGCACTCAATTAAATACCAAGAATTTTTCCTGAAACAAATGTTGGAATATATATGTGATAAGCAAGCTGAAGTGAGGCAGGCTGCATGTTATGGTGTGGGTGTCATGGCACAGAATGGTGGACCGCAGTATGCTCAAGCCTGTCATGGTACGTATCAAGAAAGGTCTATATATCCCAGTAGATAACCTATTCCATAATGCACCATAGTCGGGGGTTTCATTAGCAGCAGGAAACAGGTGATTTTCCCCGGTTGTTTTCACAAAATTGCCTGTTGTTTTTAGGGACTTCAACTTTCCATGTTAAATTTATGATTTCCATTAATTTTCCCTGTTGTTTTCAAATATTTTTAGCCTTTTGTGAGAAATTCTAGTGAAATTCCTGATAGTGATCCAGCAGCATATCCCAGTATGCAGAAATTGAAAGATGATATTAGTATTATCAACTCATTGTATGATGGTTGATGGGATTTGCTAGCCTACACATTGTCATTGCTGTTATCCAGTTCAATTCAAGAGGTTATCCCATCCTCTTTGAAAGTCACTCAAAAATAAGAACATCAATTCCTACTTTATGAAAATCAGCACAAGGCGTATCCCACACTGAACTATAATAATCAGATAATGTGATGATGATGTTTCGTTTCCAGAGGCTATCCCATCCTTAGTAAAAGTCATACAAGAACAAGACTCAAGGAATCCAGAAAATGTATGTCCAACCGAGAATGCAATATCAGCTATAACAAAAATATGTAAATACCAACTAGAGGAAAAAGACGTTGAAAAAATCTTACCAGATTGGTTGTCTTGGTTACCAGTATATGAAGATGAAGATGAGGCTGTGCATGTATACACTTATTTATGTGATCTTATGGAAAAGTAAGTATTGATAAAATTGCAGCTACTTCACTTAAGATTATCATGTTACCACCATGGTGTTTTGAGCATGAATTCAACTAGAAATTCACTCCACGGGTGATGTGTCAAAATAGAATGATATGCAACTGAGAGATAGCAGACAAGTTTCATTATTTCTCACTTTAAGTCAGATTTCACTAAATTTCCCAAAATGCAATGAAAGTATGCAGGCGTCCAATCCCATAATGCATTTTTTTGCTTTAGGGGTCATCCAATAATGAAAGATGGAGGATAAGTCATTCATTATTTCTCACTACAAGTCACACAGCACTAAATTTCCCAAAAGGCAATCCTTTGGTGCAATATTAATCACGATGTGTCTTGTTTGTTTCAGGAATAACCCTATAGTAGTAGGATGGATTAATTCTAATGTTCCTACACTTATTAAAATAATCGCAGAGGTGTTCGCCAAAGGCGCACTGGGTGCAGATGATGAAGTAGGCAAACGATTGGTTAAATTGGTCCGACAAATTCAGGTAAATAAAATAAAATTTAATTTAATGATGTCATCTCCTATTCTCCTTTGATGCCATTTTCATTTTGGAAACGATTAGTAACAAAAGATCTAATTTTTGTATAGAAACTAAATCGGCTATTTCATACTACACATTCAACAGGCTATTTTCACCGTTGTTTTCACAAAATCGCCTGTTGTTTTTCAACTTTTCCATATAAAATTTACGATTTCCATTAATTTTCTCTGTTGTTTTCAGTTATTTAGCCTGTTTTGAGAAATTCTAGTGAAACCCCTGATATTGCTGTTGAATCTCATTAAAAGAGGTCATTCAACTCTATAACCAATGTTTGACCTTGACCTTTTGTACTTCCAGCAAAATGAAGAGGTGTTTCAAGTATGTATTAACTCACTGACTGAAGAACAGAAAGTTGCATTGTCAGAGGTCATGACGGCATGTCCACCTATGTGATGTCCCACCCTGTACAACTAAATCTCAGTAGAAGTTGACCTAATGTGACCTCTCACCCTGTACAACTAAATCTCAATTGAAGGATGCTTCAGTTAGGAAACTTCTAAAACCCGTGCAGTACATAACTAGCTTTGAATAAAATCATGAGTGAAAGTTAAACTGGACACCAGGACAATACGAGGCTAGAGAGAGAGAGTCATCCTGTACAATTAAATCTCAAGTAAAAGTTGACCTTAGCTGACACCCACCCCATACCGCTTTATCTCATTTGAAGTATTCTTCAATTGGAATACTTCCTTAAAATCATGCAGTTTACAGCTTTGTATTAAATCAAGTGTGAAAGCTTAATTGGCCATCCAGAACAATATGTGACTGGGTAGGAAAAGACGGACACTGTTAGTAACTTAGTATTGAGGGATTTGTTCTCTGAACTGTTATTCTGCGGTGAACAATTGTCTATTAGATTGTCACAACTCACAGTTCAGTTTGGCCCTAAATACTCGAGGAGCGAGGAGGAAACTTCTAATATTGAATGAACATGCTTTTGACCAGACATCTCTAGGACTTGGGCTAGTCAATGGTCGCCACGCTATCATGCTAGCACGATCCTGACACTTGGAACAACATGGAACTCATTTGGTCATCGTCATGGATATGGCAAGGACAAGTCATGTTGCTACTGATCGTAGCTACTTTCGTGCAGATGTAAATGAGGACATTCAATCCCATAAGCCTTCCTTGTATGTAAATGAGGCCATTCAATCCCATAATCACTGGAAGGTGGAAGCCAATGTTCCAAAGAAGCCTAGCATTCAATCCCATAATCACTGTAAGCCAATGTTCTAAAGAAGCCTAGCATTCAATCCCATAATCACTGTAAGACAATGTTCCAAAGAAGCCTAGCATTCAATCCCATAATCACTGTAAGCCAATGTTCTAAAGAAGCCTAGCATTCAATCCCATAATCACTGTAAGCCAATGTTCTAAAGAAGCCTAGCATTCAATCCCATAATTACTGTAAGACAATGTTCTAAAGAAGCCTAGCATTCAATCCCATAATCACTGTAAGACAATGTTCCAAAGAAGCCTAGCATTCAATCCCATAATCACTGTAAGCCAATGTTCTAAAGAAGCCTAGCATTCAATCCCATAATCACTGTAAGCCAATGTTCTAAAGAAGCCTAGCATTCAATCCCATAATTACTGTAAGACAATGTTCCAAAGAAGCCTGCCATTCAATTCCATAATCACTGTAAGCCAATGTTCTTAAGAAGCCTAGCATTCAATCCCATAATCACTGAAAGTCCATGTTCAAAGAAACCTACCATTCAATCCCATAATCACTATAAGCCAATGTTCCAAAGAAGCCTACCATTCAATCCCATAATCACTGTAAGACAATGTTCTAAAGAAGCCTGCCATTCAATCCCATAATCACTGAAAGTTCATGTTCCAAAGAAGCCTGCCATTCAATCACATAATCACTGAAAGTTCATGTTCAAAGATACCTGGCATTGAAGACCTATTTGCACTAAACCTAAAGCTTCTGTAAAGTCTTCTTACAAATAAATGAGTGATTTTTAGTATGGCAATCTGCAGTTTAACATTTCCAATTTAAGTTTAAGTGGGCACTAAATGAGATCAATTGTCTGTAAATGAAATTAGGTGTTGAGAATATGCAATCATTTCTAAACTTACTTGAGTATGTGATATTTAATGTATTAGTCATAAACATGTTTTTGTGTTTGTGTAAAATGAAATTGTAATTTGCCAATTCAATTTGTTGTGTCGTATTTAGATTGTTTTCAATACGTTGTTACATATTTACATTTGTTTGACTATGTCACAAGTGTACATTTGCTGAATTATGTGTCATAAAAACATGTGTATATTTTGTTAACATTTCATATTTCCAAACCATTACTAGTACATTTGTTCTATCATGTGTAACAGCTGTATACTTGTTTGACAGATGGACATTTGGTTTACAGATTGCATTATCATGTATTACAAATTAACATTTGTTTGACCATGCGTTACATTTATGTTACAGATATACACTTGTCTAGCCATATGTTACAAATGTACATTTTCACTTACTGCTGACCAATCCATAAACAGTCAACTTGTGACATCATCATATCAAATCTTGTTAAAAAATTAGATGTATTTGGGTAGGAAAATGATTCCTTTTCAATCTGTGGTGTGCTTTCATCATTTGAACTTTCCAAAATTATTTGAGAATGTTGTTTGGTAGAATGTGTCATTGTCTATTTTTTATCAAATCAAAACTATTTTTATTATGGAATTTAGATGTATTTTTGGTATCATTGTATGCTTTGTATTATTTTGAACTCCAATTTAAAATGGCAACAAAGATCGATTATCAGATAACATCCCTTTATGTCTATTGTCTAAAAATTCCATTAGATCTTTTTGCCATGATTATGATTCTTTGTAGCCGCTTTAACATTTACATTGTCATTGAAAACTTGTGGTATTTATTGGTCAATACAGACATGAGATTTGTGAAGAAGGTACTGGTTTTTTGCAGATTTGGTCTGAACTGTGACCACTTTTATCTGGTTATCATCGTTTTAACCACTCATAAAATAAGAGCTGCAATGTCTCTTTAACATAGGAAGTTTGAACACAAGGGCAATTGAACATAAGTGTATTTCAACATCAGGGCAATTGAGCATTAGTGTATTTGAACATCAGGGCAATTGATAATAGGGCAACTTAACATATGTTGCACAAGAATAATTAATAAAAACAGAACCGCATTGCAATTACTACTACTTCTTTTTACATGCTTTTAGTTCAGGCCATTTCATTAACACAGTAATTTATGTACATCTTCAGTTCGTGCAGTGTATTATGTAATGCTCATAGCGCCCTCTTTATCTCAATGCGAGCTTGCCTTCACTCAGTGAAGTTCTATGGTTTTAGTTGGAATTCAGCCCCAGTTTGTATATATCTACATGTGCGTATCTACCACTGGTGTGTATAACAATTGTAAAAATAAATTTATTATTAAATAATTTAATTACTAGTATAGTTATGTGGCTATAACTGCAGTGCCTGTCTGTTGTAACCGTTCTAAGGAGTGTCCCTTTCCATTTTATATTGAGAACAATTTCAGTCCATTTTTGCGTGCTGTAGTTCTTGGTGTCCCATACACGTTTAAGTTAAAAGTCTAGCATTCAAACGTTAGCGTGAGACCGCCAAATCAGGTTGAGTCGTCAAAATGACCACCAATTTCCCGTGGCGGGTGTCACTCAAGCCTTTGAATGGTGCATCATGGGTCACGTCGTGGACCACCTCCAGCAACAAGACTTGCATAGATGGGACAATGATCAATAAGACCCCATGGGATCTTCAACAAAAAGTGCAGCTATATTTTAAATATCTATTTGTCCAATCGCTTAGAATACGATGCTTCCTGGGGCTACTACAATCAAGTAACTATGTCAGTGCATTAGTACAGTTGGGGACATAAATAAATGACAGGTGGATTTGCTGAAGTGAGGATTTCCCATGTTAAAAATAAGAGAATTTACAAGAGGCCATAAATCAGTGGATGAGATTATACAAATTGTAAAATATACAAATTTTAAGGGATATGTATCTAGACAATATTGGAAATTATGGGCTTTCTGACCACCATAATTAGGAAATGGTGATCGAAAATCGACCTGTCATTTCCTAAATGAATTTGTGATTCAATCATTTTTACAAAGACCCCCCACGAAGTGCGGTTCTTTGTACCTTATTCCGGACATGGACCAGTGGATCGGTCACGTGACCTAAAGACCGCCTTTATTACCTTATATGGCAAATTGTCAAGGGAACTACTAAGTCGTCATATGACGCGATTACGGATCGATTGTGTTTCCAAGTAATGTCGTCATGTGACGTAGAACGCATTGTCCGCCATTGCTCTCAATTTTGTCTGAACGGGTAAGCGTATTTTAACATTTCTGTCATTTTAAAGCCTGGTTTTCAGTATTTATAATCGAATTTCACTTCAACTTGATTGTAGAAATGAATAGAATTGTAACTTCTTATTTTACTGAATCATTATTCGAGCCAGAAGTGGCGCAAAATCAATTTATGAACTTGAAGAAATTTAGTTACTCATGGTTCAACGAGTTTTTCAGATGGTTCAAATAGTCAACACTGATATATTTAACATTCTGTAAATGGTTAGTATGATGCTATGCTGGTCGCAAGGAGAGGTATCAAAAGTTCAATGTCTGATAGGAAGCTAAATTAATCTAGTTTTGAGTTTGACCCCCTCCCCCCAAAAAACGTGATCATCGCGGACTTTTCGCGTGTGGACTTTCGTGGATTTTGGATTTTGGATTTTCATTGGGATATTAGTAATACCATAACGTATGTAGGCTACAATGTAGAATTCTTAAAACATGTGACAACAACAGTAGGCACAGCATTTGCAGAAAACATCAAGTAAACTCTTTATTTTAAAACCATTCAAAGGAATTCTGATCCGAGTCAAAATTGCACAAAAATTGAAATGTTAAAATTTGTCTGATAGATCTAGCAAACTGAAATGGCTTTGAAACCTTCTTGATTTATTTAGTTTTATAGGCTTATCCGTCGACATTGAACCTTAGATGCCTCCCGCGAGACTTATGTCACGAGACTGGCTATTACCATCTACATAAGAAGTGAACGATAGTTTTTTAAACTGGAAGGTCAAGGTCGGAACTCAAATGAATATAGACTGCCCCAATTCATTTCTTTTTCAGAACAAGAACGCCAACAACAACAAGATCCTATGCATACGACCACACCAACAACAAGTGCAACAACAAATAACGTAAACAATCATAAAGGTTATGTCAACAAAGACATCATATTACAAATCAGGTGTGAAATCGGCAAAACTTGGGCTCAGTAGACAATAAAAAAGTTTACTGTAGAAGTGTATATGCTAAGGTGTCAAGGTATGTATCAAATCAAGAGATCAAAAGACTAAAAGCTAAGGTATATTTTGTAGCAATAGAGAGGTAAAGCATAATAACATTTTTATTACATGAACCACAAACGTAAATCTATACATTACCGTTTTCGTTCTGTGAACGTGCTACTTTAAAAACGGAGGAAACGTAATTTGTAGGTCTTAAACTTAAAACTGGTTTATTATTGTTATGTCGCTTTTATGTTTATGTTGCAAGAAGTACTAATACAATAATATTGTACTTAAAAACTATTAGTATGAACTGTATGAATACATGAAATATCTTCATTCAAAGGTATAAATGTTGTACAAAGACAGGCAGGAAATGTATTGACTAAGGCCACACATATAAGATATGCTTTTATCTCATATTTCCATGGCACGGTAATAATAACAAAGCTCAAGAAGGATGATGTACATTAGAACTTTCCACAGAGTCCAAATGATGTCACGACAAGATCCAATAAGTTTCAATCAAGGTCCAGATGTCATTCACTAGGGATTTAATTGGACTTTTTGAGATTTGTTGTATATTTTTGGGCTATAAGACGCCACAATATACTGAAATATATGCTTAAGTTACATGATTGTTTTATGTCACCGTGTAGAGATGGTGACATAATGAAGTTTGTTAGAGTTTATTCGTATATTTAAACCTTTTCTTGGTAATGCAATACTGCATCAAAACACATAAAAAACAGATATAGAAATTGTGTTCACAGTTTGAAAATCTGATTTAAACCCCTTGCAAAATGTAACATAACGTAAAAGAGCACGAAGCGCTATCTATATTGTTCTTGGTAAAAAAGTCATTTACAAAAATAACAATAGAGTTCCTTACTTGTAAGTAACCCTACCCCATCCAGAACAGTATACCAGTAGCCTAATAGTATAAGTAGCGCTACATGCTTCTGTGACAATATAACCATTTACTTAATAGATTCCATTTAAAGCAAGATTTCACTATCACTCCATCTTTTTCGCCCATTATACCTAACTTCGGGTCTTTGTAGTTTTTCAGTGATTTTTTCACTGGATTATCTTGTTTCTTCAGTCGATTTGATTTTTCAAGCTAGAAAACAAAATTCCAATGAGAATTTTTCTATGAATGAGGTCAGTCTATACTCATCAACTGATTTACGAAGGGTTTGGTCTTAGTACAATCCATGTTATTTCATCCTTGTGTAACCCTGATCAACTAAATGCCGATAGTACAGTACAAACTAATTTCAAATAATACATTATGATAATGTAATGTAAACAATGAATAAGTCTTATTTTATTGACTACATTTCCATTTATATCATTCATTAATTACGGATAAGTTCTTATCTTGTTAATTGTTCAAAATTAATATTGGATATTAGGTATTGGTTGGTTGACATACCATGGGGACTCCGTGGCGCAATGGATAGCGCGTTGGACTTCTAGGGGATATTCCAAGTTATTCAAAGGTTGTGGGTTCGAGTCCCACCGGAGTTGAACACCGTTTTTGTCACTCCATCCGGAAAACGTTGTGGAGGGCCTTCAAGGAGGATTGGCAGTCATTGTTCAAACTCAATCATCAGTTGCCTGATATCACTCTACTTTACCTCACAGCTGGAAATCCATAAGATACTTTGTCTAATTGTATCATGTAGTATATTTTGAAAGTGCCTTAGTAATGCCTGGGTCACATATGCTCCGATCCATCGGCAGGCGCCCGCCCGATTGAGTGTTTTGTTCAATATTGTATTCAATTTTGAACAAAATACTCAATCGGCCGGGCGCCGTAGTGAAAATCGGAGCATATGTGACCAAGGCATAACATCTAACATTCAACCGGTAAACCATTAATAAGGAACAGACAAATAAAAACAAATACAATCATAATCATTACTAATAAGCCAAATGGGTTGCTCATGAACAGCAAATGCAAGGTATAGTAGAGTGGATTAATGGCGTGTCTTCAATCTTAATGTTTCACCAATATAAATACAAAGTTATATAACTTATCATATTTTTCAGGTTCAACTGCTTGCCTTTGACATGTTTGAGGCAGTTTATCAGACTGCTAATGTTGATAATTCTCAAAGAAATACAAATTTTTATTTATATGTATAGATTTCTAAATGATCAAGATTGTCGGAAAGCATTACTACAAAGCAATCAATATTCAAAAAATGTGTTGAAAACTGTGAGAATAAAAAAATGCTTTTTATTTTTCCTATATGTTCTTTAGTCATATTTTCTCATTGTGCATGAATTTTAAAAGTAATCTCGAGCACAACCCTGTATCAAGCACAAAAACGAATTTGCACCCTTTACTAAAAGGGCAACCCCTCTATCAAGCACTTGTTGAATATCATAAATAACTTTATCCTATGCCAAGTAGAGTTTTAGGGAGATAAGTTGGTAAGATATATCCCGTATCATGATTTTGAGGTTTCCATATCCTGAACCTCCATATCTCCCGCCATATCTCCCGCTCCAGCGCATATCTTCCCGCTTCGAAAAAAAATTTGAAAAAATAAGAAAAAAATGAAAAAAAAGAAAAATTGTGAAAAATTGAAAAAAATAGAAATTGAAATTTTTTTTAAAAAAATTTGAAAAAATTGAAAAAAATTAGAAAATGTGAAGAAATTGAAACAATAAAAAGAAATTGAAAGAAAATTACTTGGTATAGGATAAAGCAGTTATGTACGGTCGGTTTGGATATTGGGTTCATCCCTCGTGAGATATGCACATCTACCTTCGGACCCTACGGTCCCTCAGGTAGATATGCATATCTCCCTCTGGATAAACCCCATATCCAAAACCTCCCAGTACATAACCCTTATGTATGTACTTACCATTTGATATCTTGAGCTTGACATTTTGACTTCAATAAGACTTCTTGAAAGACGTGTATGTAAATAAATGATAAAGCCAAATCAGAAGTCAAGATGCACGGTTTTACATGCAATATGATAGTTAGGCGGTTGTTCCATTCTAAACGAGGCAACAAGCCCCTATTTCTCATTGACTCTTATTGAGTTATATACAAGAGACAGTGAAGGCAACTGCGTCACCCTATTTTACGGATAAATGTTTTTAAGATATTATTCAACTAAAACTGTGAAAATTTTAATATAAAACGAATACTGGATGTTCTTTTTCTTGTTTTTTATGTAAATGCCCCCAAGGGGTACAGAATAACTGTTCCAATTTCAATTGTTTTTTTCCCAGAGACCTTATTACAACAAATTTCGTTATGGGTTACCGGGCTAGAAAATGAAGGGAAAACAAAGTGTTAAGAAAGCGAGCACTGCAGATAGCACCCTGGTTATCTCAGTAAAATATATAATACCAAAATAGTTCCGTTGTCATTAGATTTGTATTTACACGTCGCACGAAACTGGGGACAATTAGGGTAACATTATGGCGTCAAAATACCAAAACAAAACAATGAGCAGTATAGGGCGCAAACAGCATTATAACGTCAAAAACGACGAGCGTCACATTTTTGTCAAGTTTAGTCAACCTCAAAATAAAATCCTTTATCCTTATCTAAACACGATAAAATTCACAGGGTAGCAAGATCTCGAGGACAATATTTCTAAAATGATTTTGAATTTTGAAAAACGGTCGGGAAATCCACTTGGGGCGTTAGTGAAAATTGATGTGTATGGAATTTGTGGTAAAAAAACGATGCGTCACATTTTTTTCAAGTCTCGAAAACCAGCCTCTATTTTAATATTATTTGCGAAACTAAAAAATCCGGTTATTGTTTTGTAAATTTTGCCGTGACAATATTGTGCAGTTAATTTTTCATTCAAATCAAACCTAAATAAGAAGGTCAAATTAAGGTAAACTTATCGCTTGTCCCCTTCGGATGAAAAACCTTACATAATTTTGAAAATTGTAGCAAGCGTCCAAATAAGAAAATTCGAATTGTAACCGCTACGCAATTATGACGTCATAAATGAACATGGTCAATTGAACAAAATGTGAAAATTTCATTGGATTCTGATTATTATTGCAAAAGTTATCCTAATTTCAACAAACCGGTTAAGGGTAAAGTGTTACGTCTTACAACGTATTTTTCGATGTTGGGGTAGTTTTAACTTTAAAAAAATGGTAGATCACATCGAAATTTTCGAGCAAAAATAGTATCACTGAAACGCGCATAAAATAAGCTTCAAAATGATATATGAAACACATACTTAGGTTTTTTACTTAGGCGGGTATTAACGTTTAAAGGTGACATTAGGCCGTATTTCTCTAATTGTCCCCAGGTCCGTGCACGTCATAATTGCAATAAAGTTCACGACAAACTGTTTGCTTCCTGTTAATCGGAGGGGTCATTCATCAAGCTATCGCAATCACTGCGACGTCGCAGACACTGCGACCACCGTGCGAGGTCGCAGTGACTGCGACTGCGACCTATTCATTAACAAATCGCAGTCTGCGATGTCCATGCGACCAGTCGCAGTGATTACCACGTGGACGTGCTTGTACACGTGTTAGTTATCCTTTCGAGAACCTCTTGTATCATTTCGTAAACTTTTATAATAGTTAGACCCTAGGCATGTGACATCACAAAATAAGGTCCACATTATCGTTTATTTGAAGAGGATCTGTACGATCTCTAAGTACGCGTTCTCTACGCAGAGCATTACGGTTGAAATCAACCATCAGTTGCGCCATTTCGAACGAATAAACGCTTCCAACAGACGGTTAACGTGTCATGCAAGATTGACAATATGGATACTGAGTGGGCACAGCCACGTGGGTCAAAATCCAAAACCACGTGTAACGCACAATCACTGCGACCGGTCGCACGGTGAAGTACTTGAAAATACAAGCCGAAAACTAGCTGTTTTTGGTAGCATCACAAACATGTTAAACATAATGCATATGCTCTGCAATTTTAATATAACATGGATCGAATATCGAACTATACGTCCTAGAATTTCTATATAATTTCATAAAGAAATTCAACTAATTTAAGACATTTTTCGTGAACTAAAATCACTGCGACTGGGTACCACCAGTCGCTTAAATTTGGGCCATTTGAGGGGTATTTCATTGCGACGTCGCAGAAAATGCTACCGATCGCAGTCGCACGAGATTGATGAATAGGACGTAATCGCTAAAAAGGGCCCTTGCGACATCGCAGGCTTGCGACGTGCTTGCGATAGCTTGATGAATGACCCTTCAGATATGAAGCCAACATATTTGTTTATATGACTGTATAAGCAAAACAACTGATCAATGTTCGATTCATTTTGTTTTTATGATTATTGTAAGCTATCATTTCACCACGTTGTCTTTGGTCTTTTCTCAATCCACTCGGCAATTTTCGGATATTTTTCCACGCGCTGTTTAAGTGCAAGCAGTTTCGGCCAATCCTTCAAGAATGTGTCTGCATTTTCTCCAATTCTGTCGAAAATTTGATCAATCCTCACAGCAAAGTTAATGTCTGCCCATGTGATCTGCAATGAAAAAAACGGTAGTAAAAGGCCTACCTTTGAACGATTTATTTACGTAAGCAATTGAACGGTTGTCGTTTGTTTCTATGATCTCCATGGTAACTTCTGTATGGTTGAGACACTACCCAGAAACATATAGGATAAAGTTCATTTATATTGAGAATGTTTCGGTAAACATTAATAGCGTATATATGTTGTGGAGCATTGTGAACCCAATAAGACGTTGTCAGAATTTCAAGATAGGCGAGGCAAATTGAAATAAACTTCATTTAACAGTTTGAAATGAAGCGTCTGCATTAGTAATCTTATGACAGGCGATTGCTTCACCTAGCTATTGCCTTGCTACGTTATGCTAAGTGAACCTTACCCCGTCCCCAACGAAGAATCCTGATCCCCCGTCATTCTCTTCCAGGATCTGTCTAAAATTGTCCATCATTTCTTTGGAATCTTTCAAAAACTTTTCCAGTAGCTCAGCCTAGAAAATTGAAATAGGTAATCATTGTAATTCATAATAGGATAGTTTCTAAATAGCAGAAAAATCAATGAAATCTCGTGCTTTTTCAGCTTTTAACTCGGGCTAGAGCTCCATTCATTTACATGCTAAAATCTTGGAAAAGTGGCTTAATTTCATGATTTATCAAAGTGTGTTTGTTGAATCTGTATAAAACTTGAATGATATACCACATGATGACCCTGTTTATGTACATGATGTGATTAAACATGCAAATGTTGACTGACATACAAATAATCCACGGATTTAAAGAATTTTAGCATTGCATCTATGGACATTTGGCCCAAGTTTTTTTAAATTGTTATAGAAAATTATTCAAATTACATAACTTTGTAAATCAAAGCTATTAAAGGAGAAAACATTTCACTGAATTCAAATATGCCATTTAAAAGAAGGTAATGTAAGTCATTAGAGGTCTAATATGCAAGTCTCTTAAAATCTCACGAAAAACGAGATTTAGCGAGATTTCAAAAGCTATATGGAAACTATACTATTGGACCTTCATTTAATAGAACAGTGTTATAAGTAGTAAACTAAATAATTATCAAGTCTACTGAACAGCATATGTTAGCATGATCGAGAAAGGTACATACGTCACATCCATGGTAAACAATTTCAAACACGTTAAGATTATTATAAATCAAATCGATTAGACCTTTTTAATCGGATCTTGTTCCATAAAACACGGTCTCCCTTTTTCGAATGCGTCGTACACGCAGGCAGATATCATTTCTGCTCTGGCTTCTTCCCAATCACCTTTGCCGGCATACCCTAAACAATCAAATACTTAATTTTTTACAATGAATTCAATTCTACATGTAGATTTAATCCTCTGAAAAATAGTAAACTTAAGAACATTGTAGAACTATGTTAACAGTACAATTCCCTGAACCGTGACACCGAAAATAGTACTTTCCTATTTAGATAAAGTATTGTTGAAATTGTTATGCTTTTTCTGTCAGAATAAAACATCTTTTGAATTGGTTGTTTGCAGCATTGTAATCGTTGGCTTATTGAATTATAACTATTAAAGAGATTAGTTACAGATTTTTATGTTATATCTATCTAAACTTTTAAATGAGATCATGATTCATTTAATAATGTTGACAAAACAAGATTCACACATAGCTAGGCTAGGTGTGCCAAATTCCAGCCAATCCGAACACTATTCCATATAACTGCATTGCATTATATCACCTGGTCCAACAACCCACCCAAGGTCATTTTTAGATTCAACTTCATAGTTGAGTGAAAATCTATAAGCGCTTATTGCAGGTGAAATGGTAAGTGTCAAATGGTTGTCAAGGTGACAACTTGACTCTTGAAAAAAGTTTCCTTGAAAATATATTTTTTTGAAGTTTTATCGTATCTTTTAACTTATATTGTATAAAATATTTTGCGATGTGGGAAAAGAATTAAGCCAAAGACTCAAATGATTGTTGCCGATTAATTCCACTCAATGCATTATATCCCAAACTTAGCACTCAGTGCTACGCATCTCGTACAAAGTTTGGAACAAAACCTTTGAGGAATGATCTGCAATGCAAGTTGCGTACAGGGTTAAATCCTTAACTAGATGACCTTAGCTTTACTTGAAATTCGAAAGCAAAACAAGTATTGCATTGTATTCCTAATTAGATTGTTTACTCTAACAAACAACGTTCGTTATAAATCTGTATTTTAGATTTTAAACATGCATTGTTCCAAAACACTTACATGGACACCAAACTTACCAAATTGCCTTGCTAAATATTTGGCAATGACGTTACTTTGACATAATCTTTTCCCATCCACATCCAGAACAGGTACTTGGCCGAATGGCAGGCCTAATTCTGAAAGTAAAATATATTAGCTGTTGATAGAGAAACGCATACCTAAATCCCACCCGTATAGCGGGCGGAAGGCGTTTACAAATAACCAGAAAGTAGACCAGATACTAGACCAGATACTGAAACGATGAAAACATCAATTTGCTCATATTTCACCAGCTATACCATATTTTCCAACCAATACAACACGATGGGTCAAAATACTTCCTGACGACAAAACGCAAACACTATAAACATACTCTTGGCTATCTGTACACCCGAAGAACATCATTCAAACATGACCGTGCTCTATTCGAATTTCTCAACCAATCAGAATGCAGCATAGCCAATATAGAACGTTCTCTAATTCTCCATAGATGCACGACCATGCTCTATTCAATCTGCAATTTGCATTGTTTTGAGTGACGTCACATCTCAGCTGCACATCTGGGGCTCTGTCCGGGGATAGCTGTTCTTTTCTACTCCCTTCGTAACTACTGTAACTATTTAACTATGGCTGACTTTACCCGTATAAAATCTAAAACGGGGAGTAAAATAGAACAGCCCAAACAAATTCTAAAATTTTTCCGGCCGACTTCAGAATCTTGACAGCATGCGTATTCTTCCTTCATGCCCGTTCCACAGACACGGCTTTTACTAATTTTTATGTTTGAATCGGAATAAATAATGATAGGCCATTCAATATGGTGAAATTCAGCACTCGTTGGACAGAATGTTAGTACAAATGCACTCACCTTCGGTTCGTGCTTTGTACAACATTCTGTCCAACCTTGGAATAAAATCACCTGGAATGGAAACTCCATTGTGTATCTATTGCTCCATTGTTCTATGTCTGTCTCCCATTGTTAAAAATAGCAAATCCCCGGTTGCCTTGACGAGTTATTGCGTCATATTTCATGAACACCGACGTCACATTCCGTACATCGTTTCCCTGACGACCGTAAGTTTTATAAACAATGCTGTACTCGTTGACCATGCACGATTTTATTCAGTGTATCTCACGTCTTCTTCAGTCGTTCACAGGCCCATAGCCAGGATTAACTTGGGGGTGGGGGAGCGGTTTTACCAAGGGAATGGGCTTTCAATTAGAATCTAATTGAAAGCCCATGCCAAGGGGGAGCTTTTGCCAAGAGGGGGTGAACTTTTCAGTTTTTGGCAAAAAATCATACGAAAAGTGCTCAAAATGGTCAAAAACTGCATGATTTTTAAAGAATTTCTGGCCCCCTCCGACCCCCCCCCCCGGCTACGGGCCTGGTTTACCGTGATTGTTTTTCAAGGTCACGTCGGAGTATCGGACAAAATGAACGGAGAAGTTAGCAGGCGATTTCGGCTAGAAAATATCTGGAAGAATTATTTTTTCAAAGAGAAAGATTACTAGTGCATTAATACTCAGTGGCGTAGGAACAATGTACGCCAAGTGTAGTGTTGAAAAGTGAGAATAAAAAAGACTTAATTTTCCGATGTTCTTTAGTCATATTTTCTCATTGTTCATAAATTGTAAAAGTAATCTTGAGCACACTCGCCTAAAGAAATGTTTTGTGGATACCATATTATTATTGGTCTGTCTGGCAAATATCATTTAACAGATTGAATTCCCTTACCATTGTATGCTTTATTTCATTAAAATCGAGCCACTATTGACTGTCTTATGAATTTTAAAAGTAAAATACAATTTCGCCAAATATTCGTGAATCGCGTACTCTTCACGAATTTGAGAGAAAAACTTTTTTTTTTCAAAAACTACTTGATGAATACCTTTGAATTTATTTTTGCATATTCCGTAATGCTTATGCAAACTATGGTATCATATAATTATAATGATGAACCTCTTTAAATTTAGATGTATATTTTTTTATTTTCCTCTACCCCAATTTTTCAATTTTACTACATCGATTTAAATATTCCGTTGCTAGGCAAAATCATAGACATAAATTATAGTTAAGTCAACAATTATCTATTTTCTTACTAAATCACTAATTGTTATAGGTAGTACTTCTTGAACTATGAATGTTAAAGACAAAAACAACTTGAAAATGCTGATTATTCAATTACAAGTTCCATTGAGTTCAGTTCTAGAAAATCGATTACCTAGTTTTTTTTCATTTGAAAAATAATATTTAGAAAAATCTGTCATTGTTATTTGGAAATTGGTCGTCTCAATCGTTCGAGACATTAGCAAAGTGATAATGATTTGTGTCGTGATTTAAAAGATAGGCTTTCCAAGGTGATTTTAAATGATGAAAATCATTCGAATATTTTAAAGCACATTAAAAAGGTATCAGGGATTTAAAGCTTGCATATAAAATCGAAACGCCAACCTATACGTATGACCAATCGCCCATACAAATGCATCGCTTAAGTATTTCCGTTCACATTTAGGTTGGGAAAAACATTGCAAGCTTAAAATCTCTGTTACCATAAAATGACGTTTTACGAGCATAAAATAGGCATTTTGATTTAGAATATTGATATTGTTTCATATTTTTGGCGGGATTTTTGGCGTAGTGTTGAATACGCCCCTGCATTACTAATCGAAAAAGCGCACGGTATGGCAAGGTAATATGTTACGTTTTCCATGAGGATTAGCCTTGCCCAAGTCGGTATTTTTTACTTATCTGATCTTATCTGACCTCGGTCATAATAGAAATCAAGATAAGTAAAAGAGACCGACTTGGGCAAGGCTACATGAGGATACGCTAATTCTAAAATATGTGATGTATTATAAGGTGTCGTTACCAACGTGCAAAAGTCAATGTTATTGCTACAAATCAAGAAACAATGCCCGCAAGACCTGTACCAAATACTTATAAGTGACGGTATCATCACAAAACTAATGCCATCGCTGGCTTTTTGAGAAATGCTTTATGAGACTCCGTGGCATTGTTTTTCCTTTTTGTTTTGAATTTTTACACCTTAACATTAACTAACTACTCAATATGCAACTTTTCACAATGTACAATTTTAAAATATTAAGTTTGAAAATTCCATTTTTATAATGGAGCTTAATGGGAAAAGGACATAATTTTAATTATTTTCAAATGTAGCGGCGCGATTTGACAGATATAATGGATATTGGTAAGACGAAAATGAAGAAAATTTAATCTGGTTACGCAAAATATAGGAACATGTGAAATAATCATAAAAACCTTTAAAAATAGATTGAAGGGGTGATATTCATTTTTAATGTGCCTTTCACTACTACAGGGTAACCATAGCTTTGGTAATGGTTTACCAATTTTAAAAGCATATCTTCCAGCATGTGTATCAAGCCAAGTAATACAATAAGTCAGTGAGTTATCATTAATTGGAATTGTATAATTGTATTTCTAAGCAATGATGACAAAAAGGTAAAATATCACATACTAGTTCTTACCATCAAATCGATCTATTATAATGCAGTAGATCTTCAAATTCACGAATTGAGTTAAATTGTAAGATAATAAATAAATTGTTTATCCCTAAGTTACTGTATAATCCCCTTCTCTGAATCAAACTAAATTATAATATTTTGGTATGCTTATTTTAGTTGCTGTAGTTTAGATCACTTGTTGAGATATTCAGTAACATGCTGTCACTAGAGACAAAACTTGACACTAAATAATCACTCGTGTTACGTTCGAAAATAACAGAAAGTAAAAACAGCAATTAAAATATAACAATGTACAGTACATAGTACTATATTTTTGAAAAACTAAATGATATAACAATAATATATAAAATATAATGTAATACTTAAGTTCAATTGGCGATACCCCTAATTGTCTCTCGATGTTGGTAAATATCCTTGATGATCCTTGAGAATGTTCCAGATCACGAAACGTTAGTTCTCGGATGTTTGTTGTAATCCAATAATGTTCGTAGTAATCCTATAATGTTCGTATCCAATAATGTTTGATGATAATCCACAAATGGTTGATAATCCACGAATGTTTATATAATAATCCACGAATGTTTATGATAATCTGTATATATTTCTGTGTAAGTAACCTGTCCCTTACCTGTTGAATGGTTAAAACTGCTTCAAAGTGGTCAATGAAAATGTGAAATGTGTTTTCTGCGCAAATAATGTCCCATTTGTCATATGGTATGGTTTAAACATTGAAACCTTTTCAAGATCATCCAATATGTTTCAACAATTTCCATGCATCACATTTGTAAAGTTTTGCACAATATCTAATTTAAGGCATGTTTTTGTAAGTCTTGTAGTTTCAAAATTCAAGGCTGCGAATAAATTAGGGCATCAATAAAAATGTTAGATCTTTCTCCACAAGATTTGATGATATGGGCTAATGCATGCATGTATGAAGGAAATATAGCCTTGTAGATGATTTAGAAAATAGCTGAATTTAAAGCAAGTTGAAGAAGACCTTTTTGAGAAAGTTATTGGAGGTAAAATCTCAAATCTAAAGTCAGATTTAAGCTTCTTAGAACTAAGATGATAATTCATAAAAAATTGTCAATTTGAAGTTGAAAAATACTTTTTGACCTTGTTTTCCTAAAAAGGATATCGATGATTTTTGACAAAATTGGTTCAATTTGAAGTTGAAAAATATCTTTTCGACCTTTTTACCTTGAGAAGGTCATTGCAGGTCAAATCTCAAATCTAAAGTCATATTTGGACTTCTAGGAACGTTAGCTTGTAGATGATTTTAAATTTGGTCAATTTGAAGCAAGTTGAAAAATACTTTTTTCACCTTGTTTTTTCAGAAGCATATCGATTCAAAAATAATTCTAGAAGAAAAAAATTAAGTTTGGCATCCTTAGCTCCCCCATTGAGCTACGTGTTAAAGCCTCTTTACGTTTGAATTTTTATTTACTTAACCGGCTATGAAATAACTTATAATATTGATGAAAACGTATCTTGACTTTATTTCCAATACCTCCAAATTTTCTAAATTTTTTCCTTATTTACAATAGGTCGAAATTTGATAGTAAGTTTAATGAGTTTTTGAAAATCGTCATTCCCATGTAATCCAAAGGGAAATGTTAGTCATGTTTGAAAATAATTTTTCGCCTCCTTTGTTATTTCAATGGGAGAGGTTTTTTGAAAAACAATTTTGACTTTAAAGCCCTATAACTTTGTTGAACCTGAAGAAACATATCAATTTTTTGTTAAATAAAGTTAGCAAATTCAATTGCCTGCCTAACTCTTATTTTTTGCAAGGACTCGAATGGATGGATGTTCTGTGATATGACTTGCAGCAAACCTACCATTTCCCATTGGTTAACATGGGAATGTCGATTTTCAAAAATTCATCAAATTTATCATCAATTTTTGACTTATTGTAATTGAGGAAAAAATTGAGAAAATTTGAAGGTATTGGAAATAAAATCAAATTACGTTTCCATTTAATAGTATTTTCATCGCAGGTTAAGTAAATAAAAAATCAAATGTAAAGAGGCTTTAACACGTAGTTCAATGGGGGAGCTAAGGTTGCCAAACTTATGGAGGGGAGTGTAACTATACCGCAAGTCTATTCATTTATCAATTCGATCAATAGTAAAATTTCTCCTGAAAAAAAAATTTAATTTAGTGTTTTGATGGATTTCATAATTCAAGTTCAGCGGTAGACCTTCGATAATCATTGTTCAGTATCAAGCGAAAGTTACGGTTCTTACCTTCGCATTTAAACAGAAAGTGTCGATTTCGATATTATTAGTTTTCATCGAAATAAACTATTTTATAGTTGAAATTATGCTTTGATATTATTTAAACTAGATCAGGCTTATTACATGACATAGAAACTCTGGAGTATGATCATTTGTTCATATACGATGCGTAAAAACTTCTTACATGATCACTGAATAACGTTGATGTTTTCGATATTATTAGTTTTCATCGAATTAAACTATTTTATAGTTGAAATTATGCTTTGATATTATTTAAACTAGATCAGGCTTATTACTAGAAACTCTGGATCATTTGTTCATATACGATGCGTAAAAAATCTTGCATGATCACTGAATAACGTTGATGCTTTGCTCTCATTATGACATGTATGAAAGCATAAGGATATTCTGGAACAAAAACGGAATGCGATCAAATTAGTAGCAAAATTGCCTCTAATTGATTATAAAGAGTTATTAATATGTATCTTGTAGTTTACTTTGTCTCCAAAGTTTTGAACATTACTAGGATCGCTGATTGTTCAAACAAATGTATATAATATGTTGATTCATTTATTCAAGATACAATAGTATTTTAAGATGACCTTTCTGTATAATGTATAAATTGGGCAATAGTTGTTAAACAGGGTGAGTCAAAAAACGTAACACAAACAAATGTTAATAACTCAGTCATCCAACATGGATTTAGGCCTAAAGTCATGATCCATACGCCTACCGTACCGTTTACTATACCCGTGACAGTTAGTTTCAGTATTTTGGTGTGTCTAGAATTAGTAGTAGTAGTAGTAGTAGTATTCCTCGCTATCAATTCGAATGAAACATGACAGAACATGATGCCCGACTGCCATCGTCTTAACGTAGCACGTCACTAGTAGGATCGAAGTGCGTTTCATCTATCCGAATATGGAGTAAGACCGTTCTGTCATGTTTCCAAGAACGTGAGAGAAGGTGAAAACTACCTTCGTGTGGTGTATCTCAGTAATCTGGGTTATGAAAACTTTCCGTCTTTCCTTTCATCATCTAAATCCATGTCACATGGTATCCGAAAGAAGGAACATCACGTAAATCCACAATTACTGTTTTTAAACAATAAAAGCTTGTACATATTTATCCAACAACAAGCCCTTTTACAAGACACAGTTTCCTGAAGTCATATCGACGCTACAATTACGAAATGTTTTGGAGTGGTCCATCTTCAGTAGTTTTGAATTGAAGTTGATTTATTAGTGAGTAAGTAAGCCGTTTCCCTGGCCGTTTCTTGGGTATCAAAGTGAGGATGTCGTATCCGATCAAATCTACACTGGTCGCAATAGTGCGATGACGTTCAAAGCAAATCTCACTGAGATTATTTTGTCTGGCGTTAATGAGCACATTGTTCCAGGGAAACCATTTTATCCTTAATATTTGTGTTAGTTCATCAGCAGACGAATTTTTCAAAGGAGTTGGACTACATGTATAAGCTTGCTTGATTTCTCTTTTTGTAGACATGTTTCAATTGCTGCTTTTCCATCTTGCTAATTCATCAGATGGATCTGGAAATAAAAACTGAAATTAAAAAATTGATCATACACAGAGAATATAATCTTAATTGATAATGCACGCAAATGTCCTTTCGATTTTTACATATTTTCCTAAACATGAAACAAGGCCTTGCATGAAATAAGCGGGACATTTTATTTGCCAACTTTTTCGGATTTGCGGACAACTGGAATTGATGGTGCGTGCAAAGAGGTTACAGCAGATTTTACCTTATTTTCCTAAATATGACATAAATAGATTCATTTTCTTTCCAAAATTCTAAGCAAGTTTCGTAATTGCGGAAAACTTGAAACAGAAAAACACTTTTCGCATATAAAAACACATAATTGATCTATAAAAGAACATATACAGAGACTATGATTGATGGTGCGTTCAAAGAGGATACTGTTTTTCCTTATTTGTTCATATATGACATATAAAAAGACATTTTCTTACCAAATTCAAAGCACGTAGAGATGAATATGAATCCAATATGGCGCCGTAGTGTTGTAACGATGTGACGTCACAGGTAATTTTTTGGTAGTTACAGCTGTGACGTTTTTCAATTATCGGAGACAGACATAGAACAATAGGAGACATGAGTTGCCATTCCCGTGGTTTAGTATTCCCAGGTCCAACTCGTGCTGAATTTCACCATATTGAATGGCCTATCATTATTTATTCCTTAATTTAAGTCTAATGTCAGGATTCCAAAATAAGGAAAAACTATAATTTCGACCTAGAATCATGCAAAAAGCAATGAAATATCGGCATGATATCATGGAAGGCATCATAAAAGAGACAGAGGTAGTTTTTACGAGTTTATGACCTAAACTCTAGACAATATCATGTGCTTTATACAAAATTTAGTTCTTCAGAACGAGGTTGAAATTGGTTGAAATTAGTTGAAATGGACGACAGACAAAAGATGCCCTATTTGAACGCAGCGTTTCTTGGATTATTAAGGTATATTTCGCATGTCCCACTCGCTATTCCACACAAAACTACTGTCGATACTTCTGCCGTAGGCTACGATATCCACATATATTTTTTATAAAAAGGGACATCTGTTTAAAATGAATTTATTTCTTTGTACAAACATATTACATGCGGCAGAGGTGATTTGCAAACTCATAACGTTTTTACAGGTTTTTATGAACCTATACGCAATGCACCATGATGAGTCTGTATTCAGAGACCCATGGGGATTCAAGCCAGAACGATGGCTAGATGATGATGGTCAGTTGGCGTCTATAGAAGAAAGAAACAAGTAAGGACACGTTTTCGTCATTATCATTTTCATTTTTGATAGACATGCTCGAAAATCAAGGATTGCGAGGCTCATACTGCTCCGTTTTTCTTCAAACTTAAAAGCAAAACAAAATTGCCTTTCTGTCGGTGCATTACTTTATTGTAAAGAGTCCCTCGTTCTAGCAGCGTTTTGGTCCCCAGCTGTTAGAAGGCCTTCTTACAGCTGGGGACCAAAATGCCGCTGGAAGTAGGGACTCTGTTTAAGAGAATAATGTACCGACAGAAAGGAATGATTTTTGTTATGCTTTGAATGAAACAAGTTTGAAGAAAAACAGTGCAGTATGAGACTCGTAATCCTTGATTTTCAAACATCCGGTAGGTCAAAAATTCGTTGTCACGAATGGCGGTCATAACTGTCGCTTCAAATATTTAATCACTTGGTCCTCGTTTCATGTGACTTTATCGTCAATTTTATGGAAAATTATTTAAGATTCGGATTGACGACATCAAAGAGGCTACATTGTGGCGATTCACGACCCAATTTGATCGAAATTGGGATTTCATATGACACATCATCACAAGAGCTAATACATGCAAAGAATTACGATACAGTCCCATGAAACGAGGACCAAGTGACCAAGAGTTGAAGCGACGGTTATGTCCGCCATTTGTAACAACGGTATCTAACTTTACCGTTGTCGGTGTATTCAAGTGTGATTATTCCAGTGTGATCTTTCGATATATACTATGAGGTTATATAATGGTTGATTCCGTATATCGAAGTGAATAAATGATATATTCATGAGTGACCGAATGGAACCGTGAATATATCATATACTCACGAGAGAATAACGATTATATATGTCATACTGTGTTACACTTGCTAACTGCATATTGAATGCTCTTACTATGCTAGAATATTTTCTCTCCCTATATCTTGACACTGTTAATAGCGATATACAGAATCAACCATTATATGATCTTATTATCCCACCTTAATCTTTATATTAATAAAAGGTTAATCTAAATTCAGCAGTTGTATATCAAGTCGAAGAGTTGTATACGCTGCCCAGGAGTTGTATACGCTGCCCAGGAGTTGTATACGCTATCCAGGAGTTGTATATCGTTCTCAAGAGTTGTATATGATGAGTGGTGGTTTTATATTGCCGTTATACAATGCTATTATGCAATCATATAAAGCACTTAGGGTGGGATAATCATACATATACTGTACCTGCAATGCAAGTACAATATCTTGTAGAACGTTGGAATGCCGTAGGCCCAGGATTGTCATAATAGATTGTTTCGAATGTCGGTGACAATAATAATGCATGTGAGTTGATATGTGTTCTATATTGTCCATGTCTACCTACACTGACACATACTCTTAACATGAGAATATATGAAACGTTATTCTAAATCTTTCAGATGTAATGAAGAATTTAGTATAATAGTATTCGCCGTGACATCTAAAAACTTCTCTATGAGACCGAAAACATCAGAAAATTAAACAATTCATGAAAAGGCGTCGCTGGGTAGTCTGTAAACAATGCATATCCCCAAGGCGTCCAGTATGGAGGCATACCATTAATAAAACATTTTACCTGATTTAGTTTCCAGCCATTTGTCCTTCCCTTCCTGACTTGGCCATGGTAGATCTGGAAAGAGCCTGACGTCTTCGTACTCTTCACCCGCAAGTGCAAATAGTATCCTAGGGGTTTCGGCCCTCCCCCTCGCATTAAAGTAGACAAGTCTGTATTTTGGCATTTTGATAAGTGTACTGCAGAGTGGTTTTCCTTTAGTATGTAGTACACATTGTTTATCATATACTAGTACCTACCTCCGCTTTCAGGTTTAAACTTCAACTTATCAGTCTCGTCTAGTACAAATAAGGAAGTTATACGCTGTCGGTTCGCCGATTCTAAATCAAGGGCATTTATACAAAGTTGGGGGAGTGGGTCTCAATGGAGCTGGGCTTGTTTAAAACATAACATGAAGTTTGCTGTTTGGGGATTTTATTGGTGTATGACTGGATTTGAGTTGCATTGGGGTTTAATTTGCCTTGGTCGAGTTGTCATTGATCAAGGGCATTTACACAAAGTTGGGGGAGTGGGTCTCAATGGAGCTGGGCTTGTTTAAAACATAAAATGAAGTTTGCTGTTTGGGGATTTTATTGGTGTATGACTGGATTTGAGTTGCATTGGGGTTTGATATACCTTGGTCGAGTTGTCATTGGGTTTAGATTACCATCGAAGTATGTCGTCTCCGTATGTCGTCTTCGTATGTCGTCTCCTTAGTCGTCTTCGTCTCCGTGGCGCAATATCCCCGGGTTTTATCAGACAAGCACAATGGTTTTTACAATAATTACGGGTAAGTTCTTATCTTGTTAATTGTTCAAAATTAATATTGGGTATCGATTATGTATTGGTTGGTTCAATATCCCATGGTGACTCCGTGGCGCAATGGATAGCGCGTTGGACTTCTAGGGGACAATCCAAGTTATTCAAAGGTTGTGGGTTCGAGTCCCACCGGAGTTGAACACCTTTTGTCAGTCAATCCGGAAAACGTTGTGCAGGGTCTTCAAGGACATCCTTTGCCCACCCAGAGTAATTCATTGCATTACATGATCTCAGAAGAAGTGAGTAGCTCCCATAATACTTTCGTATTCGGGGATTCCCCTTAGCCATCCTATGTGGTCATACAAACCTTATATGGATCTATCACATGATATTCAAAATGGCGGACAACTTCCTATATGGTCATACAAACCTTATATGGATCTATCACATGATATTCAAAATGGCGGACAACGATCAGTTGGATTCCTATATGGTCATCTAAGCCTTATATGGATCTAGCACGTGAGTGCCACGTGATCGAATACGAAGGCTGAACTTTGGGAGATCTCCCCCCCTGGCATGATCTGCTATGAAAGCAGGACTGGCAGCCATTATTTAAATTAATCATCAGTTGCTTGGAATGACGTGTCTTCAATCTTATTGGTTTATGCCTACAGGTAGGTCACATTTGCACCGGAGGCCGGCCGATCGCGATGATTTTTAAATCGACCGGGCGCCGATGACTTTTCCCCGATGCCTTGATTTCGCCGTGAGTATGGTCACAATAGTACAGTCACCGTACGACGCTCGCAGTCACAATTAAATCATGAAGAATATCGCACGGATATCGCAAGGCTATCTGTCGATGACCGTATGGCACCCGCCAGGACATTGCACTGCATCAAATGTGGAATTTCTAGTAATTTCTAGACGTGCTTAGTCGGTCTAGGAACTCCGTGTATCTAGAGATTTCTAGGCGTACTTAGACGTGCTTAGAGCTGGCGTGGACAGAGCGTGACTAGAGTCTAGAAATCTCTAAGCACGCCGTGGTTAGACACAAGACAAAATTAGTCGTTATTAAATTGCCATGTGAGATTTTGCGCTATATATGGAAACATTTAAATTATAATTTACCGCACGTGTTAATATTTCGTGTTTTGCTTTAGCTAAATACGGGATATCAAATCAAAAAGAGTATGTTTTCACTTTATATCCGACTTGAGTCACGAAAAGTACATCGCAACGTGGCTTCTTAATTGTTAATTGTTATAAATTAAGAGGGTCTGTTTAAATGGGTATTTCCACTAATCAACACCCATTATTTCGCGTTGACAAGTACTAGGGCCGAATCCAGCATTTGCTAAGGGGATGACTTTTAAATTATTCCAGGGGTGAGGTCACATTTGATATTTGCTCAAAAATTACACGAAAACTGCTCAAAATGGTGAAAGAATTATTGGCCAGGGGATACAGTATTATTTTAAACTACACATCTCTATCGGCGAGGGGGGGGGGCTAACTTATTCCAGGGGTGGGGTCACATTTGATATTTGTTCAAAAATCACACGAAAACTGCTCAAAATCGTGAAAGAATAATTGGCCGGTGGATGCAGCATTATTTTAAACAATACATTACTGTCGGCGAAGGGGAGGGGGCTAACATATAGTTGAAATTACAGAATACGCTACCTTAATTTTTGATGATCTATAAACATAATCTTGCCATAAACAACTACTGATTTATATATGTGAACGGATATTTGTAAATTTGGTTTAAAAAGAAACTGAATATAGGGTAAAAATGAGGGAGACACAGACCTCGGAAGAGTGGGGATAAAATCTAATCAACACTAAGGTGAGACAGAATGAGAATCATATGTCTGGACTCACAAGATTTTCATAAACATATTTGTTGATTGCTCACGGAAACAAAAACAAATTTCAGGGTTCATTGGCATCATACAATATTTGCAAAATGGGGGAGTGCATTTTCCCAGGATTTAAAACAATGCTTTACTTTAAATGTCGCCCCTCATACTAGCATACGCGTTAACTATCAGATTCAGTAGCACCCTGCCCTTGATATATTAATACATAGTTTTCTTGCACCCCTTTTCAAAAATACAACGAACTAAATACATATTAGTAATAATGATCTTGGAATTGATTTCTTTGATCTGTAATCTAGACCACACAATAACTAATTAACTGTTTGATTGCGTTTTTGCTTCTTCAAAGACGGGATATCCCAAAATTACCTTGATTACAGCATTGGCTTTCAAGAGAGTCCATGATTGCAGTCTACATGGTCTATAGGCTATTTTTAATTCCTCGTTATTTTAGTTGTGTATCTTTGAATCTGATTATCATATACAATTTACTTTAACCAATTTTACCCGTTTTTTGAACTTCAAAACTGTCACATACATATTGGTGGTCCCTATAATCATATTAGGACCAATAACAAATAACATAGTTAAAACTGGAAAACATACAATACATATTCATCATCTCATCCATTTCTCCGGTTTGTATCTCCCGGTAATCTTTATGCCTTGAGCCAACCCCCCCCCCCTTACAGATACTTTAGATACACTTATTTTTACGCTACTTAATTTGACGAATTTGCTCAATTTCAAATATTGGCGGCTATTTAATTTGGCGGAATCAGGACTGAAGTTTAATTTTTGTCTATGTTTATGCATGGGCTATCAAAAGATTCTCTTGAAAGCCCATGGTTTATGTCATTAGGACGGGTATATACTAAGATATTTTCTGTATTTCTTTTGGGATAATGTATGATATGTTGATGACATGCTCAGTTGACAGGAAAAGGGGCCCCACAAGTTTAATTTCTGAAGTGCATTTGACAAAAATTCCAAACTGAAATTTGACGGATTTTAATTTGGCGGATTTTCTGACTCCGTCAATCCGTCTAATTAAAACGGGAGCCAAATTAAGTATCTTCAGTTATATCAATATTATTTTGTATCTATCTGACATTATAATTTCGAAGAGAGATTCTCCCGGGGACATTCGGGATTTCGAACATAATAAACTTAATTTGAAATTGAATCTGAAATTCAGTCAGAATGGAATACATGGACCTGGTTACATGGTTTATCTTATTCTAAATGGACAAATAAGATCGCAGGGGCAGGAAACTCCCCCGTAGTTGACATTTTGTTCATATAAAAGGCATTTGCATTAATCCTTTTGATAACTTTGTTTCGCAGTTGGTCTCTTGACCCGAAACATTCTGGCTACAACAATACAATTGAGTTTTAGAGAAAAAATTGTGACTAACCGCCCTAAGAGGAACGTTGGAGCTTTTTAAGACCACATTAAGCCCCTACTTTAACTAACATCCTAATTCATGTTAAAGCCAAGCTTTTCCAGAATATCTTCAATCAATCCTCAACCCCTGTTAAAGACTCATTTTACAGGGTGTCTACACCGGGGCCTACCCCTTGACCCTCGTTAAAATCCTACTTTTGAAGGTAACATACCCCTTCAACCTCCCTTCAAAACCCTACTTGTACATGTACCCGGGCATGTACCTACCCCTAAATCCCATGTTAAAGCCCTTATATTTGCCGGGTACATACATACCCCCTCCCTCTCAAGCCGTACTTTTGCTGTTTCCCACAGCTGGATTCATTTGTGAACTATTATTTTGCTATAATGAATCCTGGTGGATGTGATATCTGTAAAATATACAAAATGTACATTATATATGCGGTCTGGGGTGTGAAGGGGTTCACTTTTAAAAAAACAATTTCGGGGGAAAGGTCTCAAATTTGTTAAACAAAGCATGGAATGCCCATGAACCAATTATGAAATATTATCAAATGAAAACAAAATATTAATTCCTTATAATCCAAATACTTCCTTGTTTTTATAACTGCTGAACCACCTTGATTACAGAAGATATACCGTGGAGTAGTCTAGAAATAGTCTTTCAAGATTAGGACCTATAGCCATTTATCGTGTGGATCGACACTATTTATTTGCATAGATATGTTACTGGCCTTGGGGAGGCACATGATGCCTTCTAGCAATTTCAGATTTGTATTGTTTGAACTTCTTTTTTGTTTAATGCACACTTCTGATCACCATATCAAATCATTTGAATCGTAAAGATGATCATTCAAATAATTTAATTTAGGAAAATGTAAATATACAATTTACAAATACATAATTTGCACGAGTCTTGGGTTTGAATGAATTAAAATGACGTAAGCTAAGTGTAAATTTTTTGAAAAAAGCCTATCAAAAGACGAATTGTTTTTTGAATACTTTGCGAGGAAATCAATAATGATGTACCGTATTGAAGTCATAAACAACAGCTTCGAGATGTCAGCCCGAAGACTATCTCCCGGTTGTCATGTTTATCTAGGAAACTGCTGGTTGTAATCATAATAGGAAAAACGGCAAAAAATGTTGTCCTGACCATCGTGAATCCTGAACATTCCAAAAAGGGCATATTTTGTATTCACCTTGACATAATATGTACA